ACGCCGACGCCGCGGACCTCCTCCTCCAGTGGCAGCGCGAGACGCGCGCCGCCGCCTAGCGGGTCCAAGGCGGGATTTAGGGGGGGGGCACGGAGGCGGGAGGCGCGGCGCGCCGGCGGGAGGCGCGGCGCTAGAGGTCCTCGCCCTCGCGCGGCGAGTAGGCGACGACGTAGCCGACCTGCGTCTCGCCGTCGATGACGATGCCGATGGCCGCGAGCGACTCGTGGGAGCCGATGTACTTCTCGTTCGGCGTCCAGGTCTCGTTGGAGGCGTTGGAGCCGTCGGGCGACGGCGGGTCGTCGACCGCGGGCGCGCCGGCGGCGTCGGCGGGCAGCACCTCGAGCGCGCCGAGGCGCCGCGCGTCGTCGCCGTCGGCCGCGGGCGCGCCGGCGTCGCTGTCGCGCGGCAGGAGCGCGTGCTGCGGGTAGGCCGGCGGCGGGCGCGCGTCGGCGACGAGGATGCGCAGCAGCTCCGTCTCGTTCATGTCCTCTTCGTCGTCGTCTTCGTAGAGCACGCGGAACCACTTTTTCTTGTCGTCGTAGTCCACGACCTCGCCGGCGAAGAACTTCATAAAGCCGTTGTCGCTCACGAACTCCTTCTTCACCTTGCGGCCGATGTAGGCGCGCTGGAGCGCCGCGGCGGCGTGCCAGTCGCGCTCCGTCTGGCGCGGCGACCGGCCCGCGGGCTTCGTGGACGAGCCCGCCGTGCGCGCCGCGGGCTTCGCGGCCTTCTTCGCCGCGGGCTTCGTCGCCGCGGGCTTTTTCTGCGCCGCCGACGCCTTCTTCGCCGCCCGCTTGTTCCCGCCGGGCTTGGCCATCGTGTTGCGCGCGCGACGACGACGCGGACGACCGGACTGGCTTCCCGCGCTTCTGGCTCGACTCGATTGTGTACATGGTTTCGCCGGGGGTGGTCCGGCGCCGCGTCGGACGCCTCCGTGTTAGTCCACCTCGGCGCGCGGCGCCGGATCGGCGGCGAGGACGAGGCCTTCGTCCAAGGCGGCGGCGAGGCGGCCGACTTGAGCTTCGTCGGATCCCTCTGAGTTGTCCGTCTTCGCGATGGGCACCGTGACGGTCGCCTTGTCGGGCAGCCGCGCCGGTGCCGGTCCTCGGCTCGTCCTCGAAATGAGGAACGGCAGCACCCGCCCCGCCCAGACCGGAACCAGCGCGCCGGACCCGATCTGGTAGCCCAAACGAAGCGAGTGCGCCGCCGCGTACCGCGCCGGCCGCGGAAAGCGGCGATGCGTCTGCACGGAATAACGGAGGCTCGCAGCCTCCTCGAGCGCGCGCACGATGTCGCTCCTTCCAGACAGATGCGCAAAGTCCAGGGCCGTGAGGCCGCTCGGCGAGACGCGCGAGCCTCTCCGCCGGTCGTCCCGATTGTTGAGCACGCGGCCACGCCGGACCTCGGCGGAATAGGAAGTGTTGGTGTACTCTTCCGTTGTCTTGGGCTCCAGCGCGGCCCCGGCCTCAAGGAGCAACTCGACACACGGCAGCGTGTCCGCGATCTGATGACGGTTGATGAAGCATACCCCGTCAGCGGCGCGCATGCACAGAATCATGAGGGGCGTCTCGCCATAACTTGCCCGTCTCCAGTCGAGTTGCTCGTAGCATCCCGTCGTGAGGAGCGCGCGCACGCAGTCGACGTGAGCATAGTAGCACGCTTGGTGCAAGGCGATGCCGTACACTGGGTTCGGCAGCTCCCTTGCCCGCTTCCGTATAATTTCAAGGACATCCGCGCCTGCGGCGATCGCGTCCTCAACGCCCTTCGCGTCGCCATAGTAGCACTTGACCGCGATGTCGGGCCCGGACGGAGGTGGCATCCTACAAAGTCGACTCGGCGCGGGCCCAGTCGAGGGAGCTCCAATTGGCCAAGCTCGGCTGATGAGGCAATTGCCCTTCACCACCCCTTCAACGAAAAACGGAGCCCTCCTCCAAAAACATTACGCGTCAGTACTTGAGCGCGCAGAAGCAGGCGCAGCCGGCCTTGATCCAGTAGCTCTGGTCGCAGAGCTTGACCTGGGCGTTGGTCTCGGAGACGAGGCTGTTGCGGAAGATCGTGACCTTGTTCGACGGGACCTCGAGCCAGAAGACGAAGTTCGTCGAGTGGCCCGTGGTGGAGAGCGTGCCCGTGCGCGTGAGGATCTTGTAGACGGGACACCGGTAGATGCCCTTGGTCGGCGTCTCGCGGTCGACCTGGGGCAGCAGGTGGATCACGGGCATGGGCGCGAAGAGCTCCTTGGGCCGCGGGTCCGTGAGCGTCTTCTTCCGCTTGTCCCAGCGCGCGCCCTCGAGGAAGAGGCCGTTGACGTAGCAGCCGTCCCGGGGCTTGGCGACGAGCTCGTCGGCGGCCTCGGCGAGCAGGATGTGGCCGAACTCGACCGTGTCGACGGGCACGGACGTCCGCCGCGCGAAGTTCTGGACGTTCGCGGTCATGAAGCCCTGGGGGAAGAAGAAGACGGAGATCCACAGGACGTCGGGGATGCCCTTGTCGATCCAGCCCTGGAGGAACGTGAGGCGCTTCAGCAGGTCCTCGTACCAGAGCGGCAGCGGTTTCAGCGACGGGTACGCCTTCGAGCTCCAGAGCTCGGGCACCTTGCCGTCGTAGATGAAGTTGCCCATGGCCTCGAGCTCGGAGGAGAGCACGACGAGGCCCTTCAGCGCGAGCTGGAAGGTCTTGAGCGTCTCGACCATGACCTTGCCCAGCCGCGTGAACCGCGTCACCTCCTGGACGATCGTCGTGTTCAGGCACTCGTCGTAGGCCGTCGGGTAGAGCAAATAGACGGCGTCGACGTCCCAGGGCACGGGCAGCGTCGCCTCCATGTCCTGGGCGGCCTTGGCCATGACGTCCTCGCGCGACATGCCGCCGCCGCCGGACGTCCGCGGCTGGAGCGACTGGATGATGGCGCAGTTCTCGTCGGCCTCGTTCAAAGCGAAGGTGATGGACGCGTTGTCGTGCATGCCGAAGACTTCGGGCTCGGGCATCATGGGCAGCGAGTCGATGTAGTCGAGGTACGACGCGAGCGGCGACGATTCGTCCGCGGCGATGGAGTAGTACGTGCCGCTCCGGCTGAAGCGGTAGTTGTCCGCGAGGATCTGGGGCGTCATGAAGTCGGACACGATGATGTCCGCCGTGCGCATGTCCTTGTCGTCCGTGATGCGGCCGCCGTAGTTGACGACGGACGTGAGCTGGCTCAACACGGCGTAGGGGATGTCGTCGTACTGGTTCACGTAGAGCTCGAGCTGCGCGATGCAGATATCTAAATCCGTCTCGTTGAACGTGTAGCCCACGTTCCAGCCCAGGGGGCCGAACTTCTTGCGCTCGATGATGAGCGCGTGGAAGAAGCACAATCCGAAAAGTAACTTCCGGTACTCCGACGGCTTGTTCGTCGCCGACAGGCCCTCGTCGTTCATCTTGAGGAAGGTCGTCTTCAGGTTCGCGCGGAGGCCCCGCGGCGGCTCCTTGGTCATCTTCACGGAGACCTGCATGATCGCGACGGGGAACGCGGCCGTCGGCATCGACGTGAGCCACAAACGAAAGTTGATGTTGATCTTGTCCTTGTCGAAGGACTCGACGATGCGTTCGAGGGTCGGGAGCCAGGAGATGCAGAGGTGGCAGTTCTGGAGCAGGACCCAGGACCCGTCGCCCGTCGACTTGTCGATCAATTTCTCCGCGATCTTGCCCTGGCCCTGGCCGAGCGCGATGGACGTCATCTTGTCGAGCATGCCCTGGCGCTCCGCCAGTTCCAGAATGTCCTTGTTCGGGTCGCTGCCCGTCGAGAGCACGAAGACCAGGGGCGTGATGTTCGACGAGTCGTCGAAGCAGAGCGGCAGGTCGAACGGCGGCGGCTCCGTGTACTTCTGGTGCATCTCCTTGGCGACGAAGAGCTGGACGCCGTCCATGAGCTTGTCGCGCCGCAGGCACCGCAAAATACACAGCGACTGGAGGCTCGACATCTCGTGGAAGGGCGCCGGCAGCTTCGACGCCTGGGGGTCGATCGCGTCGTAGACGCGCTTCCACTTGGCGAGCGACTCGCCGAACTTCGCCGGCAGCGCGGCGAAGGCCTCGTTCAAGCCCCCCAGCGCCTTGATCTCGCTCCAGACGTTGGGCTCGATCCAGTCCGGGTCCGGGTTCGGCAGGTCGATGGACCCGATGGTCTGGCCCGAGATGACGAAGCGCCACTCGAGCTGGTCCACCTTGTCGTCGCCCATCATGATCTTGATCGTCGCCAGGAAGCTAAAGAGCAGCTTGTGGCGCTCGAAGAGCGATCGGCAGACGTTCGTGTAGACGAAGTAGGTGAAAAACTCGTTCAAATTCACGATGCGCTCCTCGATCTTGTTCGACATGGGCGCGCGCTTCACGCCCGTCGCGAAGAGCTCCTTGAACCAGGGCAGCGCGTACTGGTACATGGGGTCGACGTTCGCCAGGTCCGCGAGGCAGAAGTACAACAGGCTCGCGCGCTTCGCGACGGGCCGGTACTCCTCGCTCGACTTGTTGACCTCGACCGTCGTGATCTCCGCGTCCTTCATCTTCGCCTGGACCTCGTCGGACGTCTTCTTCGCCTGGGCCAGCGTCTCGATCAAATTCGTGTCGTCGAGGATGTTGCCCGTCGAGTTCGACAGGAGGAGCAGGATCTCCGACTCGATGTCGAAGAGCTGCTTGTTCATCTGCGCCTGCTGTACCACTAATTGCGACTTCTTCTCCGCGAGGTCCGGCATCTCGAGCTCCACCGTCGCGCCGAGGAGCTGCTCCTCGAGGCCCGACTGCGTCACCGTGAAGTTCACCAAGGAGATCTTCACCTGGACCTCGGGCGAGTAGTGCGGGTTCGGCATCTTCGTGGTTAAGAACAAACGGAACTCCTCGTTGTAGGGGATCGTCGACTCGCCGAGCTTCATCATGTCCTGGCCGCCCTGCTTGAACGTCTGCTGCAGGAGGATGGGCTCGAGCGCCGCGTCGAGCGTCTCGCCGATGTTCTCGAGGAGCGCCCACTTGCCGAAGCGCACCTGGGCAGCACAAGAGTGATTCAACGTCGCTTCAGCGTGAGTGTTTCGCGCGCGCGCGTTTCGGAAAAAGCATCCACGCTTCGAGACCGTTCCGAGAGATGATCGCTCGTCCAAAAATCAGCCGAAACGAGTGGAAAACGGCCGAGATCGGAGCCTTTGAAGTTTGGAATTTCGCTCTCTTTTGCTGCCCCGAAGCGCACCGCGTTCTCCAAAGTCCGCAAAAAGTTCTTGTCGCTGAGCTTGGTGACGTCGAAGCCGTTCTTGCACATCTCCTTGTCCTTGGCCATGGTCCGCAGGAAGCGGTTCGCCTGGCCCTGGGGGTCGATGAAGAGCGACCAGCGCCGCGCGCGGTCGAGCATGATGCCGTTCTGCGTCGACAGGTTGTCCGTCGGCAGGCCGTACATCTGCCACATGCGCAGCTTCACGGGCTCCACGAGCGTCTGCACGAGGTCGCAGCCCGGCGTCGCCTTGATGCCCAGCTCGCCGAGCGTGGACTGCCAGCCGTCGACGACGTCCTTGCGGAACTCCGACGTGAAGGGGCCGAGGTAGGACACGGTGCCCGCGGACACTAAAACGTCGCCGACGCAGTTCTCCAGCGCCTCGGACAGGTGTTCTACGGTGGCGGCCCACCGCGTCTGCTCGCCGCCGAGGCCGCCGATGAGCTTGTCCGCGTTCGAGAGCCGCGTCTTGCACTCGATCTCCTTGTCCGCGAGGGACTGCTTCTCGTCGACGGCGGCTTTTAGGGATTGCTCGAGCTTGTCGAGCTTGTCGACGACCTCCTTGAGCCGCGACTGCGCCGCGTTCAGCACCGCCATCGCGCTGTCGAGCTCCGCCGTCGCCTCGGCGTGCTTCGCCTTCTTCGGCGCGACGCCCAGCGCCACGAAGTGGTACTTGTGCATGGCGTGGGCCCACATGCAGATCGCGCGGCACGCGACGGACGCCTTCTCGACCTGCTCGACGGTGAAGTCGGGGTTCGACATGTACGGCGACACCTTCTTGATGACCTTGTCGGGGATGTGGTCCTTGTCGTAGTCCTGGAGCATCTTCAGGAAGCGGTTCGCGTCGCTGAGGAGCACCTTCTGCGCGGGCTCGAAGAAGTCCTCGATCTTCTTGCCCGGCTGGTTCGGGTCCGCCTTTTTTATCGCCGCGACCTCGAAGTAGAGGCACGCGACCTCCATCGTCAGGCGCACGCCGCCGGGCGGGTTCCGCAGCGCCTTGACCTCGTCGATGTGGGCCTTCTTGAGCTCCTTGAGGCACTGCACGGCCGCGTCGAGCGCCGGCAGCGCCTCGTCGAGGTCCTTCTGCGCGTCCGCGGCGATGGCCGACGCGCGCTCCGCGATGCCGTTGGCCTTCTCCTCCTCGACGAGCACCTTGGCCTTGACCTCGTCGGCGGCCTTCTTGTCCTGGTCGATGACGATCATCATCTCGTCGACCTCCTTGCCCTTGGTGACCAACTGCGGCTGCAGCGCGACGAGCTCCTCCTGCATGCCCGCGACGAGGTCCTTGGTGGAGGTTAATTTGTCGAGGCCGATCTGGAGCCGGTCCTTCTTCGTCTTCACCTCCTCGCGCTTGTAGCTCAGGAGCGTCGCGAAGGATGATAATAATTCGAGGTAGCTCGTCGGCGTCACGTAGTTGTGGCGCCGCAGCATCTCCCAGAAGTCGGCGCTCTTGTGCTCGACGTCCTGGTGGATCTTCTTGAACATCTTGACGACCATGCCGCGGTCGTCCGCGGGCACCTGGCCCTTCTCCACGAGCGCGGACATGCCGACGGACTCGAGGGCCTCCGCGGGCCACTCCGTGAACCAGTCGATGGTCGAGCAGTTGACGAGCGACGGGAACTGGCGGAGCCGCTCGCGGAAGGTCTCGCCTAAAGGCGACATGCAGAGGCAGATGTGCATGTTGCGGCGCACGCGGATGATGTACTGCGCGAAGATGTTGATCTTCGTGGGCGGGATCTGCTTCTTCTGGCAGTCGATGCGGCACGCGGACATGATCGAGTCCATCTCCTCCGGGCCGTACAAATTCGGCACGTCGCCCGCGTTCAAAATGTTGTTGATGTCCTCGAGGAACGTCTCCATGACGACCTGCGCGTCGCTGAAGACGAACGCCGTGGGCTCGTCCTTGACGCCCGCCATCAGCAGGCACCGGCGGATGTCGTCGCGCCACTCCGTGAGGCCGTAGCCCTTGGCGATCTCGACCTGGAAGAGCTGGTAGCCGGAGATGTAGGTCGCCATCTTCGACATGGACTGGCGGCCGCTGCCGCCCACGCCCAGGAGCAGCGCGTTGCCCTGGGGCTGCCGCAGGATCCGCGCGATGCGCAGGACGTGCTCGATGGCGTCCAGGAACATGACCAGGGGCATGGGCGACTTCGACTCGCCGTTGTGCTCCTCGAGCTGGTCGTTGACGATCTGCTTGAGCTGGTCGATGTCCGTGACCTCGCAGTATATCCGCGGGTCCGCGTTCGGATCCAGAAAATCGCAGTACATGAGGCGCTCGTTGGTCATGATCTTGGACCACTCGATCCCAAAGTCCTTCGCCACCGTCGACTCGACGTGGCCCATGAACCACTCGTGGTCCTGCGTCGTCGTCAGCCGGTCCTCGAAGACTCTCTTCAACTCGTGGACCCAGAGCCGCACGACGCCGTCGGCCTGGTCGATCATCTTCGCGTTGCCCATGAGCACGCCCTGGAACACCTTGGCGAGGTCGCGCAGGTTGAAGGTGTAGTGCGACTTCGACGGCGTCGGGAGGAGCGTCTCGCAGATCGTGTTGAACGTGTTGATCGTCGACAGCACGATCTGCGACGTGAGCTTGGAGATCGCCGGCGTGAACCCCTCCAAAAAGTTGCCCAGGATCGTCCCGAAGATGCCCGCCTTGGAATTATCGGAAATGTCCGAGAGGCCGACGACGTTGAACGGCCGGACGAAGCGCGGCGTCACCTCCTGGCGGCCGCCGCCCGGCGGGCCCAGGGACGCCACGAAGACGACGTCCACGATGCGCCGGAACGCGAGGTCGTTGGCCCGGTCGTACCAGCCCTCCTGGGAGAACCACTGGCGCAGGATCTCGATGGGCGGCTGCGCGCCGTACGTCTCGCGCATGGGCATGTTGAGGTCGTCGACGTGGATGGCCATGACCTTGCCCGCGGGCGGGCCGAAGACGCCGCGGCGCCGCTTCTCGAACTTGCCGTCGAGCGTGTCCTGGGTCATGTTCGCGCTAGTCTGCGCGGAGAACGTCATCGTCAGCGGCGTGAACTCGGGCGCGATGGGCGCGCCCTCGCACTTGGACGAGCCCTGGAGGTACTGGGAGATGGTCACGGTCTTGCCCGTGCCCGTCTCGCCCACGAGCATGACGTGGTAGCGCTTCTTCAAGAGCTGCGCGAGCACGTACGTCGACCGCACGGAGTCGGCCGTGGGGACGATCAATTCCGAGAAGCTGAGCTTGTTGTCGACCTTGAACTGGTCGATGGTCTCCATCCACTTGCGCCACTGGCCGCCGTCGTCGGGCGACCAGACGTAGTCGTAGACGTCGCCGGCCTCGGGGAACTTTAAAGCCACTTGGTTCGTCGCGAGCTGCGCCCGGAGCCACGCGTCGTACATGCGCCGCGCGGTCGCCGCGCCCGTGCAGCCCACGGACCAGACGAGGGAGAAGATGAAGCGCGCCTCGACCTGGGCGACGAAGACGTCGACGTCCTCCTGCTTGGGCTTGTCGCGGCCCTCCTTCTCCTCGAAGGGCTCGAGGAAGCAGTCCATGAGGCGCATGAGGCTCTGGGCCAGGTTGTTGTCCATGGTCGGCAGCAACTCCTTCGTGTAGAGGCGCACGAAGGCGATGGAGCTGTTCAGATAGGTGTCGAACATGCGCACGAGCGTCGCCTTGAGCGGCGTCGCCGCGAGCGACGGGCTCTTGCGGAGCGTCGCCTCGATCCACGACTGGACGAGGACGTCGAGGCCCAACGCCTTGGGCTCCATGTAGATGATGCCCACGCGCGACACCGTCGCCGGCGACGCCACGAGCAGGTCCTCGACCTCGAACATCATCGTCATCTCGCCGCTCATCTTCACGGACTCGCCGGACACGAGGCAGAGCTTCTTGTTGTCGTCGAGCACCGTGTTCATGTTCTCGATCCAGATGGCGTCGACGGGCCCGTCGAACATGACCCACTTGCGGTCGGACGTCGTGCTCGACGCCGCGCGGCGGTACCTGGGCGGGAAAAGGGTGCGAAATTCCCAACTTCAAAGGCTCCTAGCTCGGCCGATTTCCACTCGTTTCGGCTGATTTTTGGACGAGCGATCATCTCTCGGAACGGTCTCGAAGCGTGGATGCTTTTCCCAGAACGCGCGCGCGCGGAACACTCACGTTGAAGCGACATTGAATCACCCTTTTCCTGCCCCGGGCGGTACATCGTCGACATGATGCCGTCCTGCCACTCGCGCGTGTTCTCGTCGAACTGGCCGTACATCTGGCCCATGGTGATGGACTTGGGGTTGAGCTGGTAGATCTTGACCTTCTCGTAGGCGAAGCCCTGCTCGCCGCGCATCTTGAGCTCGCCGAGCGTGTTCTCGAGGACGTGGAGGTTCGCGGACTTGCCGCCGCCCGTGGGCCCGACGAGCATGAGGCCGTGGCGCACGACGATCATCTCGTAGAGCTCGACGATCTTGCCGATGAACCAGCCGTGGGGCTGCAGCCCCTGCTCCTCGATCGTGAGCTTCATGACCGAGAACAGCGCGCCGTAGTCGAGCACGGGCCGCTTCTTCCCCGGGAAGAGGTCGCTGATGATGCCCTGGAACAGCGGCAGATCGCCGGCGAGGAACTTGGGGATGTTCACGTCCTGGAGCGCGCGCAGCAAGAGGATCATCTCGTCGGACTCGGGCTCCTTCCGCTTCAGATTACCGGCGGCCGTGATCACGGTCTTGACCGCGCGCATGCCGTAGTCGTAGTGGGGCTGGGACGAGCACTGCTCGGAGCACAGCTTGAAGGTCGTCACCATCTTCCGACCCAGATCCTTGGCCGCGGCGAAGCCGTACGCGAAGAACATGATCTCGCCGATCAGCGCGTAGTCGGGCACCATCATGGCCACGGGCCGGAACAGCGCGGAGAGCGAGTCGGGCAGCGCCGACCGGCCCGCGTAGCCCGGGTTCATGGTGATGAACACCCCGAAGCCGTCCTTGACCTTGATCGTCGAACCCTCGAACTCGATCTTCTCGACGTGGCCCTTGATCGCGAGCTGGATCGACATGACCTGCTGGCCGACGACCGAGAGCACCTCGATGTTGATGCGGTTGAACTCGTCGAAGCAGGCCCAGGCGCCGCAGGACGCCAGGCCCTTGAAGAACTTGCCCATGGCCTGGTAGTCCAAGCCGTCGGAGCAGTTGAAGACGACGCACTGCATCGCGACGGCCTTGGCCAGGTCCTTCGTGGTCTCCGTCTTGCCCGTGCCCGCGGGCCCCGCCGGCGCGCCGCCGAGAATCATCTGCAGCGCGCCCATCAGGGTCAGGTAGCACTTGTCCGTGAGCGGCGTGATCACTAAACGGAAGGAGTTGCCGAGGTACTCGTAGCCGTACTTGCGCCGCGCGGCGACCATCTCCGCCCAGAGGTCGCCGTCGTCCCAGTAGTAGCGCAGCTGCGACATCCACGCGAAGTCGGCCTTGGCGGAGACGCCGTCGTTGGCTAAACGCTTCATGACGTCGCGCGCGTGGACGTCGATGACGGCGAGCGCGCCGACCTGCGCGCGCGCGGCCTTCGGCAAATCGCCGCGCACGAGCTTGACCATGGCGTCGAGCTGCTCGAGCTGGCGCTCGAGCATGAGCGCGGGGCCCTCGGCGCCCTTCTCCTCGAAGAACTGCTCCGTCTCCGACGTCCAGTGCATCTGCGACCCGTTGAGGATGCACATGGACGGCCACTTCTGCATCCACTGCGTGCGCGCGCACTTGGGGTAGTCCTGGATGGCCTGGTCCATGACGTGGCGGATGGACGTGCGCATCATCGCCTCGACCTCGAGCATCCAGTCCTCGACGTTCTTCCCGACGGGGTCGACGGGGTCCATCATGGGCACCATCTCCTTCTCCGGCGAGATCATCTTCGTGATGGACAGGTCGGGCTGGAATTCCACGGCGTTGATGGCCTCGAAGCACTTCTTGAAGTGGGGCTGCACGCGCATGACGTCCTTCGACTCCGACAGGATCGACAGCAGGTCGTCGTTCGAGAGGAAGTAGAAGCGGCTGAAGACGCCGCGCTTCGTCTCGAGGTAGTCGTTGAGGCCCTTCTGGACCTGGTCCAGGAGCGTGCCCGAGTCCTTGAGGCGCTCGAGCAGCTTCTCGTTGTCGCAGAAGTCCATGACGATGGGGTTCGACTTCGCGGACGAGATCGTCTGCTTCCAGTTCTTGTCCACGGTCGCGAACTTGCGGCCCTCGCTGGGGAGCTGCTTGTTGATGTCCGGCGACTCGAAGATGGGCTGGAGGTACATCCAGTTGCGCTGCACGTTGAGCCACGCGTCTAAAACCTCGGAGATGATGTAGAGCTTGTGGTTCCAGCTCTCGATGCGCTCCTCGAAGGGGCCCTTGAAGGCGCTGAACTGCATGGCCTGGGTCGTCGTGACGTGCTCGTCCAAGATGGCCGTGATCTCGTCGACGCCCTTGAGCACGCCCGTGCCCGTGTCGCGGTAGTTCGAAATCTGGAGCTCCATGGGCGTCCAGTCCTGGAGCATCTTGTCCAGCGTCTGCTCGATGTTGAACTCCTTCGCCGCGGCCTCGGAAACTTTAGTAATAAGCTCGATCTGGGACGTCGGGTTCAGGTCGAGCATGCCCGCGAGCGTGAAGGACTCGTCGGGCACGAACTCCTTCATGCCGAGGCTCTCGCCGACCTCGTGCCAGTGGCGCTCGCGCATGCCCTTGTTGCGCAGCGCGACGATGATGGGCACGTTGGGCTTGAAGGCGGAGACCTGCTCCTTGATCTCCTTGGCGATGGACGCCTGGGGCCCCATGTCGTTGCGCTCGAAGAACTTGGACGCCTTCGAGATCGCGTTGCTGTAGTCGTTGACCTCCGACTCGACGGCCTCGGCGTCGAGACTTTGGAAGGCGGCGTCGTTCCAGGTCTTGGAGCTCTCGAGCCACTTCTGGGACGTGTTCCACAGCGCGTAGTAGGGCTCGAAGGCCTTCTTGATCTGCGTCAGGTGCGCGTAGTCCGTGACCTCGCGCTCGAAGAGGACCTCCCGCGAGTTGTACAGCCGCGCCTTCTCCGTCGCCGCCGTGATCTTGCCCATGCACTCGACGGCGCGCGCCGCGGCCTCCTTGACCTGCGTCAAATCCTCGTACTGCACGAAGGAGTTCGCGAAGGCCTCCAGCGCGTGGAGCGACTTCGTGAAGCGCTCCTGCTCCGTCATCATGTCCTCGAGGTAGCGCTCCCGGCTCGACTCGATGATGCGCGCCGTCTCCTCCGATTGCTGGGCGATCTTGCAGGGCCAGTAGGCCGCGCGGCCCTGCTGCTCGAAGTGGTCGAAGTCGACGCGGTACTCGAAGCCGTCGAGGACCGCGGCCATGAGCCGCATCTCGTCGATGAACTCCTGGAGGGGCCGGATGTCGTTGGGCACGTTCGTCAAATATTCCTCGAGCTCCTTCGTCTCCTCGATATCTCTGGGCTTCTTCTTGAGCGCCGCCTCGATCTTCGAGAACCGCTGGTCCAAAAAGACCGCGACCTGGGAGCAGTGGTCCGCGTGCGTCGCGAGCACGCTCTGCATGATGGCCATGTGCTTGTTCGCGAGCTCGTCGCGGAGCGCCGCGGCGTTGAGCATGCAGAGGCCCGCGGACAGCGGCCGGCCCGGGATCATCGCCTCGACGCGCGCCTTCTCCTCCCGGTGCGTGTTCAGCGTCGCCTTGAGCACGACGAGGTTGACCTTGACGGGCGGCGCGTCGGGCTCCTCGCCCTCCTCGACCTCCTCGTCGTTGAGCTGCGCGTGCGTCAGCCCCGCGACGTACTCGTCGACCTCGAGATTCAAAAAGTCCTCCCACTGGTGGAAGCAGTCGAGGTAGGTCCGCGCCGGGTCGATGGCCGCGCGCACGGCCGTCACGAAGGACTCCTCCAAATCGCCGATCCACCGCTCGTCCTCGCGGTAGGTCTCGACGCCGTTGAAGTCCGCGACCTTCTCGCCCGTGACGGCGCCGATCATCTCCGGCCTCGGCCAGAAGAGGCGCTCCATGATGTAGCGCTGCACGTGGGGGATGGCCCGCAGCTCCTTGATGGCGTGGCGGAAGGCCGACGCGACGCAGGACTCCATCTGGGATAATGGGGTTTCATAGTCAAAAGTCCGGCCCTCGACGGGCTCGATCGGCGCGTGGGGGCACTCCGCGCCCTCCTCCTTGCCCTCGTCGCTCTTGTGCCACTCGGCGATCTTCGCGTTGCGCGCGTCGACGGCGGGCTGGTTCAGCACGCGCTTCTCCGGCGTGATGATGACCGTCATGAAGAAGAGCGGCGGCATGCGCGGCGGCTCGTCGGCCTTGCGGTCCGGGTAGACGCACTCGACGTCGGACGTCGAGTTCACCGTGACCTGGCCCTTGCAGGCGTCGACCACGTAGTTCGTGTAGTTCGTCAAGGATTCAAAGGTCACGAGGAAGAGCTCGTGCGTCATCACGTAGTTGATCCGCTTCAGCAACAGATATAACTTGTTGTCCGGCCGCGAGTAGGAGGCCATGGCGCCCTCCTCGAGGTTGTAGACGGACCGGTCCGTCGTGGCCAGGTCCTGGCGGATGGACGCCGCCGTGCGCTGGACCCACTGCTCCTTCAACGTCCGCAGCGCCGCGGCGACGGCCGCGGTCTGCGCCGTCGTGAACTCGTCGGGCGACTGGGGCGCCGCGTGCTCCGTGGACAAAATCTTCAGGTCGTGGATGGCGATGGCGTGCATCTGCGTGTCCGTCAGCGCCTGGACGACTTCGACGGAGTCGAGGAACGTCGCCGACCGGAAGTCGACGGTGATTCTGGGGAAGTCGTGCGGCGGCGTCGCGACGACCCCCAGCCGCGGCGGCGGCGCGCGCGGCGGCGGCGCGGGCAGCATGAGCTGGAGGTAGGAACTATAATTCGCGACGTTGAGCTTGTCCGAGACGAAGACGATCTCGTTCATGACGGCCTCGTAGTCGGCGACGGCCTCGTCGACCAATGCTAAAATCGACCGCACGCGCGGCAGGTCCGCCTCGTCCAGTTCGTCGAGCTCGGGCTCGACGACGGGCACGCGGTCCTCCTCGGGCCCGAGCCAGGGCGTGCCGAAGACGTGCGCCTCCGCGACGCCCCGGAGCGCGTGCGCCTTCACGCCGGGCCCGTCGAAGGGCTTCAGCGACAGCGCGACGCCCAGCAGCCGGTCCCACTGCTCGCGCTTCGGCAAGACCACGACGCGGTCCATGACGGGCATGCAGCGGATGTGGTGCCGCACCTTGAGCAGCGCCTCGCACTCGCGGCGGCGCCGGAGCGCGCGCGTGAGCCGCGCGACGGCCTCCGCGAGGTCCTGCCACTTGAAGACGACGGCGGCGCCGTCGCGCGCGCACGTGCCCCGGTCGCCGCCCGTCCAGGTGAGCTCGTAGGCGTCGCCGTCGTCGCGGAAGCCGCCCGCGACGACGCACTCGCGCCACTCGGAGATTTTGGACGGGTCCGCGCCGGGCGGGTAGGCCAGCGCGAAGGCGCCGTGCTCCAGCTTCGCTTCGTCGCTCAGCGCCGCGAAGCGCTTGGCCACGGTCTCCTCGAGCGCGCCGTCGAGGAAGCACTTGAGCGGGAGGAAGGCCGGCTCGCCCGCCGCGACGTACTTGCCCGGCAGCGTCTGCGCGACCCAGGCGCCCAGGGCGTCGCCGAGGGACGCGGCCGTCGCCGCGTCGCCGGGCGCGGGCGCCGCCGGCAGGCCCCGGCTCGACGACGCCGCGGCGCCGTCCGTGCGGCGCCGCGCGACGTTCTTCGGCGCGGCCCACTTCTTCACGACGGGCGCGGTCCCGTCGCCCGTGATCTGCTCGTTGGACCCGCAGTACTTGGCGAGGTGGGCGCCGCTGTCGCCGCGGAGCATGCACTCCTCGATGAGCTCCGCGGACCAGTCGAACTCGACGGGCGCGGCCTTGGACGGCGACTTCATCTTCCGCTTCTTCGTCGGAGAGCCCTTGCCCTCCTTGGCCTCGCCCTTCGCGGGCGCCATGCCGGCCCGGGCGAAAGGGCTCCCGAGCCCGCGGCGCGGCCCAGCTGACCCCGCGCGCGAGAGAAACCGCGGCCGCGGTGGTCGGCCCCAGCCCTGTGAGGGGCGGCAGCTAGCGCGCGGGCGGAACGGGCCGGGTACGTTGCAGCGGGCGTATCATCCGAGGTATTGTTGCCTTCAGCTTCAGCGACCGCGATCTCCGCAGGTGCGTAAGCTTTTGAGCCAAGCGCGCGCTGCCGCTGCAAGCCGACAGCGCTCTCGACGACCCCGCGGCTCGACTCGACGGATCGCCGCACCGCCGATGGCGCGCTGGTCCCAGGTTTTAATGCTGCCGAGCATGGCGCGGTCGCTGCGGCCGACGTCGCGGGCGGCGCGCGTCCCGACGCGGCGCGCCGCGTCGAGCCTCGACGAGCAGATCGCGCGGGGCGCGCCGGGCGCCGTGGAGCAGCGCCTCGCGGAGCTCGGCTACGAGCTGCCGCCCGTCGGGACGCCCAAGGGGTCCTACGGCCTGACGAGCCGCATGGGCAACACGCTCTACGTCTGCGGCCACCTGCCCATCCCGCCGTCCGGCGAGCTCATCGTCGGCCGCGTCGGCGCGGACCTCGACGCGGACGCCGCCAAGGACGCGGCGTTCTGGTGCGGCATGAACATCCTCGCGACGCTCCGGGAAGTCGTCGGCTTCGAGAACGTCGTGCAGGTCCACAAGCTCGTCGGCTTCGTCAACTGCGTCGACGGCTTCGAGGCCCAGCCCACGGTCATCAACGGCTGCAGCGACCTGCTCTACGAGGTGCTCGGCGACAAGGGCCGCCACGCGCGGTCCGCGGTCGGCGTCAACGTGCTCCCCCTGGGCGTGCCCGTCGAGATCGAGGCCGTCGTCGAGGTGAATTAATTAGTCCTCCTCGACCTTGTTGACGCTCGCGTCGCGGATCGTCGCCACGGCGGCCTCGAGGTGCGCGTCGAAGTCCGCGTCGCTCATGGCGCGGGACGCGCCCTCCATGAGCGCCCGCGAGAAGGAGCCGATGACGCCCGGGTTGCGCGCGAGCTTGCGCGTCGCCTCGGCCCGGTCGTAGCCGCCGGAGAGCGCGAGCACGCGGAGCACCTTGGGGTGCATGACGCACGACGAGTAGAGGCCGTCGCACTCGGGCAGCGTCAGCTTGAGCATGACGACCTCGTTCTCGCCCAGCGCGTGGAGCGCCTCGTGGAGCGCGTTCAACAGCATCTCCTCGGCGAGGGCCTTGTCCGGGCAGCGGATGTCGATTTCGGGTTCGACGATCGGGCAGAGGCCGCACTTGAGGACGCGCTTCGCCAGGGCGAACTGCTGCGCGACGACGGCCCGGATCCCCGCCTCGTTGGCCGCGGCGATGCGGCTCCGCATCTTCGTGCCCGCGACGCCCAGCTTCTTGGCCCGCTCCAGGAGCGCCTCGAGGTCCGGCGTGTCCCGCATCAGCTGGCACCCGTCGACCTCGGGCTCCAGGCCCTTGTCGCACTTGAGCAGCGGCACGCAGCGCTTCGTCGCCCAGAGGTACTCCGGCGCCGGCAGGCCGCCGAAGGTCCGGTCCATCGTCTTCTCGAAGAGGATCGCCGCGAGCACGCGTTCGTCGAACGCCGGCGATTTGACGATGCGCTCGCGCATGGCGTGCACGGCGTCGTACATGGCCTCGTCGCCGTCGTAGGCCGACGGCTCGACGCCGTAGTCCGCGAGGGCCTTGGGCGTGCTGCCGCCGCTCTGGTCCAGCGCGGCGACGAAGCCGGCGTCCTCGCCGAGGCGCCGCAGCTTCTCTATCCTCGCGTTGGCGTTCTCCTCCGCGGCCGTGGAGCCGCCGCGGACGCGCAGCGCGGCCGGGCGCAGCGCGGCCGGGGTCTGGCGCGCCGCGACTGCGGCGAGGCACAGGGCCAAGATCGTAGATTGAGCAGCCATTGTCTTGTCTCGCTCCGACTTCAATTTTGGCCAAGTCGGTCGTCACCTCCTTTGGCGGCGCCCGGCAGCACCGCCACCGCTCCCCGGCGGTCGCTCTCGCCTGCTCTGTTCGGACTTCCCGAAGCTTCGCCTCCTGAAGCGTCCCTCAAACAAAAAGCGTCTCCAACGTCGTCGACCGTGGAGATGTCGGAGGCGGTCGATCTCACGATTTGTCCGATTTGCCTCAGCGAGTCAAAGTCCGCGGCCGACGACCTGTTGACTTCTGCGTTTTGATTTTGTCAAACTCTAAAACGTCGTTGGGCGACCTGCCGCCGCGCCGCGAGCCGCCGCACACCACACGCACCGCACCACCGCGACCCCGCGCCGCCGCACCAGCCGCAACACCGCAACACCGCGACCGAAAACGCCGATGGCGTCGCCGCTCGAGCGCGCGCGGCGGACGCTTTTGGGCGCCCACGACCTGCGCATCGACACGGAGCAGCTCCAGCCGACGTGCGTCGCCGTGGCGAGTAACGGCGCCTTCGCCCTCGTGGGCTGCACGGACGGTAGCGTGCGGCTGGCGGCGCTCGGGAGCGCGCGGGCCGCGCACAAGCTCTCGTTCCTCGGCCAGTTGGTGAGCCGCGGCCTGAACAACTCGCTGCTCGTGACGATCTCCATCGCCGACGACTGCCGCCACGCCTTCGCCGGCGCCCAGAAGGGCGCCACCGAGGCGCTCGCCTGGGACTTCTCCGCCGCGCCCGTCGCGGGCGGCGCGCACGAAATCGTCGACGCGACGCGGCAGGAGAGCCGGAGCGACAGCAAGCTCCGGGGCTTCGTGGCCTGCGCGCGCGCGGCCCCCTGCGACTACCGCCTCCTCTGCGGCCGCGGCATCAAGAACGCGCACGTCTGGCGCGTGCACCGGCCGGGCCTCGACCAGGGCAGGAAAAGAGAGCGAAATACAAAGGCTCCTCTCTCGGTCGTTTTCCACTCGTTTCGGCTGATCTTTGGACGAGCGATCATCTCTTGGAACGGTCTCGAACGCGCGCGCGCGGAACACTCACGTTGAAGCGACGTTGAGTCTCTCTGTTCCTGCCCAGGCCTCGACGCGCGCGAGCCGCTCGAGTGGGCGCTCCTCTACGACCTGCCGACGAACGCGGCGGGGTCGCTGAACTTCGGCGGGTTCCTCGATGGGGGGCGGAGCGTCTGGGCCAAGTCCGAGGGCGGCGTCGTGCGCCTCTGGCGCGCGGACGGGTTGCCGGACCCGCCCGCGTGTTCTGCCCCCTCGGAGGACCTCAAGCAGTCCAAGGAGGCCTTCGCGGTCGTGCCCGCGGGCGACGGGTCGGCGAGCGACGCGACGGCGACGCCGGGGACCTACGTCGTCGTCGGCGGCGCCTACTCGCTCAAGGTCCGGGACCTCGCGGGCGTGCCGCGCCCGGAGCTGTCGCTGCCGCCCCGGCCGTCCGCGGCGTTCAGCCGCCGGTCCGCGCCGCGCACGATCACGTCCATGGCGCCGGCGACGTCGGGCTGCGCCGTGGCCTTCGCCGACGGCGCCGTCGCGTGGTACGACGCCGCGGCGGGCACGCTCCTCGAGCTCGACGCCGCGCTCGGCGCGCCCCCCGCCGTGTCGTGCTGCGCGCTGCCTCTCGGCGGGGCGCTCGTCGCCGTCGCGCGCTGGAACGTCAAGGAGCGCGAGGGCGGCGTGCTGCTGCGCGTCGCGCCGGGCGGCGGCGACGCGCGCGCGCCGACGGCCGCGGACGACGCCGCGGCCGCTTTATGGCCCCGCGCGGCGCTCGTCGCGCCCGAGCCCCGCGCCAAGTCGCCCCGCGGCGCGACCCTCGCGCCGGCGAAGAAGCCGCCTTCGTCGTCGAAGAAGCCGCCGGCCGCGGCGACGAAGACGCCGGCGTCCAAGGGACCGAAGCCGCCGACGTCGGGCAAGCGCAAGCTCTCCTCCGCGGCCAGGGTCGTCGGCGCCGCGGAGACGCCCGGCGCGCCGAGCCACGCGCCCGCCGTGACGACGCAGCGCCGCCGCCTCGACACGCCCGGCGCGGCCGACAAGCCGAAGCGCGACTCGACGGTCCGCTTCGACCTCCCGGACGCGCCGCCGTCGTCCGACGACGACGAGGCCGACGCGCCCCTCGAGCCCTTCGTGCCGCGGACGTGCGTGCCGACGACCTACGACGGGCCGGCGCCGGGCCACGCGCTCCGCGTGCTCTCCGGCGTCGCGTTCTCGCTCCCGCCCTTGCGGGAGAAGCCCGCGACGGCCGCGGACCACGCCGCGGAGCAGCGCAGGCGCCTCGCGGCGCTCCCGCCGCACGCGGAGATCGACGAGCTCACGGAGGGGCGCCTGAAGATGGAGGACGACGTGCGCCGCCTCGTCGCCGCGGCGCTCGCCGCGGAGTGAAGATCTATGGTCGGCCGAGGGGTCTTAAAAGTACGCGATGGAGCGTTCTTTTTGAAGGTGGTGGGTTTTCTTTTGGGGAGTATGTGGTGCGTGCCGGGAGGAGTCGTGGGGAGAGGCGTATAAAAGGCTTATAAAGCGCAAGGCGCTCGAAAAACTACTTAAGTAGGGCACAACCCTGAGGCTACCTGGCGTCAAGCATTCAACGTGAAATTGACGGGTAAAACATCCTCTCTGATGCGGTGGACCAGAGCGAGATTCGAAGAGCGCATCATACTTCCTTCTCATTCACAGCACTCACTCGGTACGCCCCGCCGCCCCTCTCAAACCTTCCCGAACCGGTCCCATCCTCCTCCCCTCGACCTTCCGAACGAACGGTCCAATCGAGGCCCGAGAATTCGACTCGTGCGCCGAGTTTCGGCGCCGCGACAATCGCTAGAGAGAGCTTTTTCGCTTCGCGTCAAAATTCCCCCCGGCCTACTCGTAACCCCGCCCCGCCCACACGCCCCCATCGACCCCCGAACCGAACGACACCGACCCACCCCACGAAACCATGCCCTCGGAATCCGCGGCCGCCACATTCGCCCGAAGAATCTCCGAGCGTATCCGCGCGAGCCACATTCGCCGCCCCGAATCTCCGAGCGTATCCGCGCGCTCATCCGTCGACCGCCCATAGGCACATCATCATCATGAAGGGCTTCTCCGTCACCTCCGCCGCCCGCGGCATGGGCGTGCTCCTCCTCGTCACGCTGGCGTCGGAGATCTCCGCGAACCGGTCCGACTGGGAGCAGGAGGACTACACGTGGCTCATCGTCTGCGCGGGCATCCTCGCGTTCTGCGCGGCCTGGGGCATCGGCGCCAACGACGTCGCCAACGCCTACGCGACGTCCGTCGGGTCCAAGGCCATCACGGTGAAGCAGGCCGTCATGCTCGCGTCCGTCTTCGAGTTCCTCGGCGCGCTCCTCATGGGCTCGAACGTGTCCAAGACCATCCGCAAGGGCATCGCCGACGTCAAGTGCTTCGACGACAACCCGGGCCTGCTCATGTACGGCATGACCTGCGTCATCATCGCCGTCGCGGTCTGGCTCCTCGTCGCGTCGTACCTCGAGATGCCCGTGTCGACGACGCACTCGTGCGTCGGCGGCATCATCGGCATGGCCATGATGTCCCGGGGCCGCCGCTGCGTCGTCTGGAACTACACGAAGAACGACTACGGCAACGGCAACACGAACATGAGCTTCGACAACTTCCCGTTCCTCGACGGCGTGTCGGAGATCGCCGTGTCGTGGGTCCTGAGCCCCATCGCGTCGGGCTTCTGCGCGGCCATCCTCTACGGCATCACCAAGTACGTCGTCCTCGAGTCGTCGCTCATCCCCGAGTCCGTCGCGCCGCCGCACCTCCGCGCGAAGGTCCTCTTCCCCTTCATCGTCGCGTTCACCTTCGGCGTCAACTCCGTCTTCTGGATCGTCAAGGGCACCAAGGGCCAGCCCGAGCGCTTCGGCACGAGCCGCCTCGTGCGCGAGGCCAAGGCCGGCAACCTCGCGCCGGCCATCGAGGTCGGCGGCATGGTCGCGGCCTGCGGCTTCGCGCTCGCGGCGCTCGCCGTCATCCCCATGTCCAAGTGGGTCGACGACGACATCGCGGCCAAGGAGGCCGCCAAGGCATCCGCCGGCGACGACGCGGAGAAGGGCGCCGCCGCCGACGCCGCGCCCGCCGAGGGCGTCGTCGGCTACGTCAAGCACGAGCTCCTCGAGGCGGACCCGCACGCCGTGCTCAAGACGAACGAGAAGGTCGGCGACATCCACGCGAACGTCAAGCACCACGACGCCAAGGCCGAGGGCTTCTTCCGCTACGTCCAGGTCTTCACGGCCATTGTCGACTCCTTCTCCCACGGCGCCAACGACGTCGCCAACGCCATGGGCCCCTTCGCCGCGGCCTACGTCGCGTACAAGAAGGGCAAGGTCGTCAAGTCGCAGGAGCTCACGGACGGCACGATGATGTGGATCCTCGCCATCGGCGGCGTCGGCATCGTCGTCGGCCTCGCGACCTACGGCTACAAGATCATGAACGCCATGGGCGTCAAGCTCACGGCCATCACGCCGTCGCGCGGCTACTGCATCGAGCTCGGCGCGGCCTTCGTCATCATCTACGGCACGGCCCAGGGCTGGCCGCTGTCGACGACGCACTGCCAGGTCGGCGCGACGGTCGCCGTGGGCCTCTTCGAGGGCACGGCCGGCGTCAACGGCAAGCTCTTCGCGAAGACCTGCTTCGGCTGGATCATCACGCTCGTCGTCGTCGGCACCGGCACGGCCATCCTCGTCGGCCCCTCGCCGGAGCCCCTCAAGGACGAGTACTGCGCCGACTGGGCCGCGGTCCACTACAACTAGGGCGCCGCCGAGCCCCCGAGCCGGGACCCCCGCCCCGGCGGGCGGCCCCGCGCGCGGCCCCGAGACCGCCGCGGCACCCGCTCGCCTCCTCCCCCCAAGCAAGAGCGCCGCCGCGCGCGCCCCGCGCCGCCGCCGCGCCCCCGGCTCTCCCAGAGAGAATCCGTCCCTAACACTGTATGCTGCCTCGTCGCGACGGCGGTCCTCCTCTAGATTTACCCCAGGGAGAGCGCGGACCTGGGCTACCCCATGGCGATGTACACCTCGGCATCATCTACAAGAACGGCGCGTCGTGGCACTGCGCGGGCCGCGTCCGCGTCGACCGCGCGAAGGCCCGGCGCCTGCTCGAACGGGCCCTGGCCTTGGGCGAACGCAACGCGCGCGACGCGCTCCGGGAGATGGACGAGGACGTGCCGAACTGCGGGATCGTGGCGAAGGTCTTCCTCTTCCTCGCGTGCTGGGTCCTCTGCGGCGAGCTGTTCCTCGCGGCGCTGCCCTACGTGGTCCGCCGGGGCCGCCCGGAGCCCGCGCTCGTGGCGGGCGAGCCCGCGAACGCGGGCGCGTCGTCCGCGCCGGCTTTGCTCAGCGACGGCGTCGACCTCGGCGAGCGGGCGGCCGCCGAGCGGGCGGCCGCCGCCGAGCGGGCCGCCGCCGAGTACTTGTAAATCACACCACATCAATCTTACATGAACCCTCAGGACGTCTGGTACTCCTGGCCCAGGGCGGGCCCGAAGGCCTCGTAGGAGTTCTGGAGGTCCTTGGGCGCCAGCGAGAGGCCGTCGGGGAACGCGACGCAGTCCCAGCCGCCCGCCATGAACGCGCGGATGTTCGCGTGGTCGGACCCGTCCGGGTGCTTCCGCACGTCGTCGGTGTAGTACGCGCCGAACAGCGCCAGCGTCGTGCTCGCCTCCAGGCCCGCGATCTTCGCGAAGGCGAAGATCTTGCTCGAGCCCTTGTTGTCGCCGGCGGCGCTGGCGACGTCGCCGACGCTGAACGCGACGTCGCGGTAGTCGTACATGTCCGCGATGACCTCCATCGTCAGGTCGAAGGAGATGTCGGCGCGCTCCTCCGCCGTGCCGAGCATGCCCATGAGCTTTTGGGCCGACGCCGGCAGCATGCTCTGCGACGACGCCGGGCCGGCGAAGCGCGGCGTCGCCGACCGCACGGGCGACCGCGGCGCGAAGGCCGCGGCGCACGCGACGAGGGAGAGCAGGCGCAGCTGCATCGTGCGTAGAGAGGCGCGGTGTTGCCGCCGGAGAGCAAGGCGCTCGAGAAGGCGCGCGCGCTCGACGCTCGAGTCGGCGCTGCCGGCAACACTCCGGCTCGATGCCGTCCCCAAAACCCTTACCTACCCCTGGTAGCCGAGCCCCCAGGTCGTCACCGTGCAGTCGTCCGCGGCGGAGATGAGCACCGCGTCGTCCGCGCCGCGCGCCGCGACCTCGAGGGCCGACAGCGGCGCGTCGTGCGCGCCGCCGTCGCGGTACTTCAGCACCGGCGCGGACGAGGCCCAGGCGAACGCGGCCAACGACCCGTCGCTGCCGCCCGCGAAGACCGTCAGCCCATCGCGGCCGTCGACGACCTTCAGGCACCGCACGTCGAAGCCCGCGCGCGCCTCCGCGAGCCGCGTGCCGTCCAAACCAAACTCCGCGACGACGCCGTGCTCCGCGGCCGCGAAGACGCGCTCCCCGTGTTCCGTCGTCAGCACGTCCACGGCGGCCACGGGCCGGCGCGCGGAACCATCGACGTCCGCGGCGCCGATGGGCCGGCACTGGCCGCCCGCGCGCGCGTCCCAGACGAGCAGCCGCCCGTCCTCCGCTCCCGCGGCCAACAGCGTCGCGGACCCGTTGAGCGCCACGCAGCACACGGGCGCCTCGTGGTCGTAGAGCTCGAGGAGCGGCGTCTCCTCGCCGGAAGCCACGGAGCCCAGGGACCACAGCTTCACGACCGCGTCCCACGCGCCCGTCGCCAGCGCGCCTGCGCGGAACGCGCATCTTCAATACGCGCGCGCGTGCGACGGTTTCGACGCACGCGCTTCCGCCGTGCGTCGAGAACTCGATGAGAGCCATCGATTCGTCCAAACATCGGCCGAATCGACGAGAGTTCCGAAGTTTCGCGGGGACCCCCCGAACCGTTGTTCGATCTCCGCGCGGCGGCGCGCCGCCGCGGAGCGCGAGGCCCGAGATCGACGCGTCGTGGGCCTCGAAGCGCGCCGCGAGGCAGGCCGTGTCCGCGCGGTAGACGACGACGTGGTTGTCCCAGCCGCCGGCCACGGCCAGCGTCGCGTCGTCGTCGAGCGCGACGCACGATAAAGCCAGGGGGCTCGCGGCGAAGGACCTGGGCAGGAAAAGGGTGCGAAATTCCAAACTTTCGAGGCTCCTCTCTCGGCCGTTTCCCACTCGTTTTGGCTCACTTTTGGACGAGCGATCATCTCTCGGAACGCTCTCGACGCGTGGATCCTTCATCTGGAAGGATCGCGCGCGGAACGCTCGTGTCGAAGCGAACGTGAAGCACCCGTTTCCCGCCCTGCTCAGGACCGCGTCGTCGTGAGGCCGTCGTCGCTGCCGAGGCTCGACAGCTTCAACCCGCCGTCGCGGCAGGACGTCGCGACGACGCCCCGCGCGTAGGCCACGTCCGTCGTCACGTCGCGGTGCGGGCGGCTCGTCTTCTTCCGGTGCAGCGACGCGACCTCGCTGGGCGCCGCGAAGCGCGGCCGGTCGCTCGCGGCGCGCGGGAAGGAACTCGGCGGCGGCGCCTTGGCGAGCGCCGGCGCCGGCGCCTGGCGCGGCCGCGGCCGCAGCGGCGCCGGGGCCGGCGGCGGCGCGCGCGCGACCTCCAAAACGCGCGGCTGGAGGTTCGGCGGCTTCGCGGGCGCGGCCGCGGGCGCCGCGGCGGCGGGCGGCGGCGGCGGCGGCGGCGCGGACGCCGCCGGCGCGTCGTCGTAATCGACGGAGAGCGTCGGCCGCGCCGCGCGGCCGCGCGCGGCCGCGGCCTTGGGCGGCGTCGGCGGCGGCGCGTCGACCAAGACCGTCTCGTAGTCGTCGTCGCTCTCCGACGCCGGCGGCGGCGGCGTCTCCAGCAGCTCGCCGTCGCGGCGCACGTGGGGCGCGAAAAAGAGCTTCCGCGGCGTCTGGCCGAACTCGTCGATCTGCAACTCCAACGCCGTCCGCTCGCGCTCCTCGCCCACCTTATCTAAATCCACGGTCCCCTCGTAGGTCAGCGGATGGAACACGTTGTCGTCGTCGATGGACCGCTGCTTGCACCCGAAGACGAGATCGATCCAGTGGTGCAGCCGCGCGGACACGTAGTCCGACTCCAACGCCGCGCGGCACCGCTTCACGAAATCCGCGGGGTTCCTCGCCCACGGCGGCAGCTTCACGTCCCCCAACCGCTCCCCCGCCTGGGTCACGCCCAGGGGCACGTTGCGGCCGTTCACTAAAAACTCGCCGTCGCCGTCGTAGAACTCGGGGATGAGCTCCTTCAAATCCGTCGACGCCGAGCGCACGGACGTCCACGCGTCCCGCACGGAGTCGAACATGCGGTCCGCGGCGTCGAACTTGCCGTTCTGCAGGCAGAGCATGTACTCGGGCACGCAGCGCACCAAGAAGAAGAGCACGTAGCCCGGCGTCGAGTAGTGCGTCCCGTAGAGGAACGGCGCGTCCTCGGGCTTCGCCGCGTCCTCCGCCCGAGGGAACTCGTCCCCCTCCGGCGGCGGCGGCGCGGGCGGCGGCGGCGGCGCGCCCGCCGCCGCGGAGAAGCGCCGCGCCAGGGGCTGGAACTTGTCGTTGAGCAGCCCCCGGAAGCGCTCGTTCGCCGCGAGGAACGACCTGGGCGGCACGAGAGTGATGCAACGTCGCTTCAACGTGAGCGCGCCGCGCGCGCGCGTTCCTCAAAAAGCATCCACGCTTCGAGACCGCTCCGAGGGATGATCGCTCGTCCAAAAATCAGCCGAAACGAGTGAAACACGGCCGAGATCGGAGCCTTTGAAGTCGGGCATGTCGCTCTCTTGTGCTGCCCCGGGAACGACGTCCGCGCGGCCGCGGCGCCCGAAGCCGCGCCCCGGCTCTGCGCGCGCGTCGGCGCGCGGACGACCTCGGGCCCCTTGGACGGCGCCGCGACGCCGGGCATGTGCGCGTAGCGCTCCCGGAAGTTCGCCAGGCGCCGCGGGCAGAGCGCGCCCACGGGCTTGGTCAAATCGCGGAACGTCTTCGGATCGTCCAAATCGAGGCGCTCCGACTCGTAGTCCGCGACGACCCAGGGGAAGACGGGGTACTGGCTCAGGTCGTGCAGGGACCGGTCCGCGACCTGGTTCAGGAGCGCCAGGTAGGAGAAGTTGTCGAGCTCCTTCGTCTGCCACGCGCGCGTCGCGTCGGAGAGCAGCCGGTCGTCGACGCACGCGGCCGCGAGCTCGGGCCGCGACTTGAGCGCCTTCCAGCAGGCGTCCCGCTCCGCCGTCGACGCAAAGGCCACGCGCAGCACGCCGTCGCGCCGGTGGCCCCGCGCGCCGCCCCGCGACGCGGACGCGGGTCTCCTCAACTCGATCTCCAAAGCCTTCGACGCCATCATGTGGCGGCAGCGGCGGCAGCTCGCGACGCGGTCGAAGGTCGCGCTCATCGCCGAGTCGCCCACGTTGTTCAACGCCGCGGGCTCGAAGTAGACGCGCTGCGTCGTCACGACGACGACGCCCGGCTGCCGGAGCAGCGGCGACACGCGTTCGCCCTCGAAGACCGCGCGGCGCCCGCCGCCCCGATCCACGACGTTCTCGCGGAAGTCCACGAGCTGGCTCATCTCGAACTTGGCCACGCGCAGCGGCGCCGTGATCTGCGCGAGCAGCGTGGCCTCCACGTGGGACCCCTCGCGCGCGGCGACGGCCGCGGCGTCGCTCAGGTTCGACGCCAGCCGCGCCAGATCCTCCGCGGCGCTGTGCGCGGGCGCGAAGGTGAAGACGCCCGGGCTCGGCTTCGTCGCAAAGGGCGCGGGCACGGAGTTGGCGAACATCTCGACGGTCCAGGCGCACGCGAACGCGACGCCCGCGTTCGTGTTCGACACGTTCTTGACGTGCTTCAGCGGCAGCTTGAGCAGCGGGCTCCGCGACTCGTTGGGCTCGAAGACGAGGCTCCGGCTGCAGCAGCGCAGGCGCCCCGTCGCCGGGCTCCGCCCGTCGGAGAGCGTGCCGGAGAAGTCGCAGAGGAAGAGCTCGCCGTGCTCGAGCTGCAGGAGGCTGAACCGGCCCTTGCGCTTCTTCGTCGGCACCTCGAGCACGCTGTACTGGGCGCTCACGGCGAGGGCCCGCTGGAGCATCGCGGCCCGGCGAGCTCTCGCTCGCGAGGCGAAGGCGCGAGGAGCGCCCGGCGTCGGACGAGGTGGCTGCGAGACCTCGAGAGGCGAGGCGAGACCGCCGGCCGAGTCGGGAGATGAGCCGAAGATGGCGACATGATCGTCACATTGCAAGGCGATTGGGAGGAGCGGAAGCATGAAGAAGTCGGTCTACGTGCTCTGCGGGTGCTGGGCGTGCACGCTGACGGCGTCGACGCTCATCACGGCGTCGGCGCCGCTCGCCGCGCGCCACGTCGGCGCGTCGCGGGCCCTGGCGCCGTTCACCATCGGCGCCTTCCTCTTCGGGGCTGCCCTCGTGTCGCTCGTGTCGTCGCGGCTCTTCCTCGCCGTGGGCCGCGGCGGCGGCTTCGCCGCGGGCTGCGTCCTGGGCATGGTCGGCGGCGCCGTCGGCGTGGTGTCGCTCGAGGCCCAGGCGCCCGGCGGCGTCTTCGCGGCGTGCGTGCTCATCGGCACGTCCCAGGGCCTCGGCCAGTTCTATAGATTCGCGGCGACGGAGCTCTGCGACGAGGACCGGGACAAGGCGTCGGCCGTGGGCCTCGTGCTCGCGGGCGGCATCGTCGCCGCCGTCGCGGGGCCCGAGCTCGCGGCGTCCGCGAAGCGCCTGGAGCCGCTCGGGCTCAAGGCCGACTTCTCGGGCTGCTTCGCGCTCGTCGCCGCGGCGAACGTCGTCAACCTCGCGTTGATCGCCTCCGTGACCTTCGCCGAGGTGGCGCGCTACGCGCCCGTCGAGGACGACGACCCGGAGCGCCTCAACGGCGCCGCGCCCGCGCGGAAGACGTCCCTGCGGGCCATCTTCTCGCAGCCCGAATGCGTGTGCGCGGTCTGGGTCGCGACGCTCGCGCACACGGCCATGGTCATGCTCATGTCCCCGCTGACGCTGGCCATGGAGGCCGACGACTACTCCTTCCGGTCGACGTCGACGACGCTCGAGCTCCACTTCGTCGCCATGTACGCGCCCGGGCTGCTCGGCACGGGCGCGCTCATCCGTTTCGTCGGCCCGCACGGCGCGTCGTCGCTGGGCTTCGGCGTCTTCGCGGCGGCGGCGGCGACGCTCGCCGCGGGCCAGTCCTACCTCGAGTACTCGCTGGGCATGGTCCTCTGCGGCGCCGCGTGGAACCTCTGCTTCACGTCGGGCACGGTCCTGCTGACGTCGTGCTACGACGCGCGCGACGCCGTCCGCGTCCAGGGCGTCAACGACCTGGTGCTCTTCGGCGTCGCCGCCGTGGGCTCGCTCGCCGCGGGCTACGTCTACTCCTGGGCGGGCTGGCGCAACCTCGTCTTCGTCGTGTCCGGGCTCATGGCGCTCGCGTCGCTCTTCCTCGTCGCGTCGCTGGGCCTCAGGCGCGGCCGCGGCGCGCCGAGCCGCGACGGCGACGCCTACGCGCCGCTCGCGGCGTCGGCGGCGGACGCGCAGTAACCCGTCGTTGCGGCTACCCCCCTAGGTCGTGTGCACGAGGGAGTGGATCGCGTGCATGGTGCGCGTGCGCTTGTTGTTGAGCGACGCGTCGATGAGGGCCATGACGCCGGAGACGGCCGCGTCGTCGTCGGGTTCGTCGAACATGAGCGAGCCGTGGACCCAGGTCACGTCCTCGATCTTCGCGAGCTCGGGGATGCCGCAGTCGACCATGAGCATGAGCAGGACCATGATGTGGTCCCGGTGGCGCCGCAGCACGAGGAACGCCTTGCAGCACAGCTCCTCGAATTTGCGGTAGCGCGCGCCCGCGCCGCGGCCGCCGAGCACCGTCTCCATGTGGGGCGTGAGCACGAAGGGCGCGGACTCGCGCTTCACGCCGAACTTCTTCTTGAAGTTCCCCAGGAAGTGGCCGAAGTCGATGTGGAAGTAGCGGCCGTCGCGCGTGAGCATGATGTTGTCGTTGTGCCGGTCGCCGATGCCGAGCACGTACGTCGCGACGCAGTAGCCCGCCAAGCTCCGCGCGAAGTTGTCCAACGCGTCGTGGAGCGCCGCGCCCTCCGCGAGCGGGTTCGCCTCCTCGGAGGGCTTGAGGAGCCAGGGGTGCTGCGCGCGCTCGAGGGCCCAGTCGTCGCGGTGCGCCTCGGAGTGGCGCCGCACCTGCGACCTCCGCGACCGCCGCGCGTCGGACTCGGCTTTCGACGGGTCGCGGACGGCCGCGCCCGCGCCGGCCGCGCGGCCCGGCGGCCGCGCGGCCGCGACGGCGCCGACGTCCTCCGTGGACATGGTCGTCGCGCGCGGCGTGAGGCCCGCGTGGCGGAACGACTGGCCGTGGTCGAGGCCGCGGCGGCCCGCGCGCGCGGCCGCGGACTCGGCTTCCAGCCGCTTCTCGGCCGCGTAGGCCGCGCACTCGCGCGCGAGCCAGGCGGCGACGGCGCCCGTGCCGTAGTAGGCCTCGTGGGCCGCGCCGTACTTGCGGCTCGCGCGCGTCCGCGGCTTCGCGCCCGCGCTCCTAAATCGCTCGTCCTTGGTGATGTTCGCGAGCGTGTTCGCCTGCTGGACGACCTCGATGAAGCCCTGCGCGCCGGCCGTCGCGACGCAGCCGTAGGGCGACATGCGCAGCTCGAGGCCCGCCTCGGTCCAGAGCGCGTCCATGGACCGGATGATCTGGAGCGTGAGCTGGTCCTGCCTTAAGTCGTCGCCGCACTTGAAGATGACGACGTGCGGCGGCGCGGCGCGGACCGCGTTGTGGAACGTGAGCCAGAGCGGCTTCTGCGCCGAGCCCATGACCTTGCACTTGGCGAGGTCCAGACCGCGGCAGACCATGAAGGGGCTCAACGGCAGCTGGAAGGCCCGGGGCAGCACGACGCCCTCCAGCTCGCGGCGGAGCACGTCGTCGCGGTCGCGGTCGGAGCTGCCCTTCATCTGCTTGACGGTCTCCGTGATCTGCGCGAGCTTCGTGACGAGCAGCGCCTGGTGGCCGAGCGTCAGCCGGTACTCGCCGCAGCGGCGGTTGTAGAGGTCGAAGAGCACGCGGCAGCAGTGGTGCTCGTCGTTGACGTCCTTCTCCGTCGCGAGGGACCAGTACAGCGCGTGGCCGCAGACGCTCGGGTTCCGCAGGGCGCGCCTCAGCAGGAAGCGGTTCAGCGCCGTGTCGTGGGACCGCTCGAACTTGACGACCTGGGCGAGCTGGAGCATGACGGCCGCCAATTCCGCGTCGGGCAGCGCGTTCATGCAACGGACGGCGTACGACCGCACCTTGGGGTCCGGGAAGCGCACGCTCAGCAGCTGGAGCGCCTCGAGGGGCGGCATGGGCGCCCAGGTCTTGAGCAGCCGGTAGCCCTCGCGGACGTCGTCGTGGTTGCCCCAGTTCACGGTCAGCAGGAACTTGGGCAGCGCCTTCGGGTTCGACGCGAGGACCTCGCGCTTCGCCCAGAGCAGGCGGCACTCGTCCTCCGTCAGCGCGTGCATGACGTGCTCCGCCAACAGCCGACTCAGGTCGCCGTCGAACTTGCCCTTGAGCTGCTTGGACGCGCGGTGCTTCGCGGCCAAATAGGACGCCTCCCCGGCGCGCGACGCGAGCTTCTCCCTGTCGTCGAGGATCAACGACGCGCGCTTCCACGCCGACGGCGCCGCGACGTCGTCGTCGTCGCCGCCCCGCGGCGTCTCGGGGGGCGCGCGGAAGTCGTCGCCCGTCATGTCGCGGTGCAGCGACGCCTCGGCGTAGACGACGGAGCCCCCGTCGACGCCGCCGTGGTCGAGGTCGACGGCGCAGGCCGCCTTGCCGCTGCGGTAGCGCGGGCCCAGCACTTTCTCCCGCCGCGCGTAGATGGCCGCGTCGCCGCGCGCCATGGGCAGCTTGACCCGCTCGGCCTTGAGCACGTTGTGCGCGTTCCACAGCGGCGTCTTGCAGAACGCGAGCGACGCGCCGTCCGCGCCGTGGAGCGACACCTTGACGACCGTCGCGCGCGGCAGGTCCCGGAGCGTGAGCTCCGTGCCCCGCGTGAAGTGCATGCCGCGCGCGGCCTCCACGAAGGTCGGCTTCGGCGCGCCGCCGTCCTTCGTCGAGAAGTCGGCGACGTAGACGGGCAGGCCCTTCTTCGGCGACTCGCCGTTTGCCTCGTCGGGGGGCAACGAGCCGCGGTCCTTCCGGACCTTCTTGAGCAGCGCGGGCTTGGAGTCCCAGGGGACCGTGAGCTCCTCGACGCCGTGCATGAGGACGACGCGCGCGAAGACCCTGTGGTCCGCCTGCGACGCCAGAAATCGGTAGAGCCGCGCGCCCGCGTCGGAGCCGCTGAGCTCGGACCGGTCGCCCGCGCCGTGCTTCGGCAGCCGCTTCTTCTTCTTCTTCTTCTTCTTCTTCTTCTTCGGCGCGGCACCGTTGGCCTCGGGCTCGTCCGCGGCCTCCTCGTAGTCGACGTGGTCCTCGTCGAGGGGCGGGAACACTCTCACGGCGGAGAGCGAGATGTCCGGCGGCCGCTCGACGATCGCGGACGCGACGAAGGTCTCGGCGCCCTTCAAAAACTGGAACTCGGCGTGCTTGGCCCGGAGCACGCGCGTGACCTCCGCCGCGAGCTGCAGCAGCGCGAGCTCCTGCAGCACCGTGAAGGGCGCGCGGGGGTCCCGGAGCGCGACGATCGCGATGACCTTCTTCGCGTCGTCGTCCGCGCGCGCCTCGAAGACGGGCGCGCCGAGGGCGCCGTCTTCCTTGACGATGGCGCCGCCGACGGCGACGTCCCGGACGAGGCCCGCCCACGTCGCGCCCTCGGGCGGCGGCCGCGCGCCGTCCGCCTTCTCGTCGGGCTTCCAGAGGACGGCCTTCTTCTGCCGCACGTCCACGGGGAAGTAGAAGTCCGTCGCTTCCACGTCGAAGAAGCCCCGCGCAAGGCACAGCAGGCGCTCGAGCATGTCCTCGAGGCTCATCTCCGGCGTCAGCGCCTCGAGGAGCAGCAGCCGCAGCTCGGACGCGAGCGCGTCCGGCAGCGCGTCCCCCTTGCCCTTGAGCGCGCGCGCGACGGCCGCGACGCGGTCCTCCTCCGTCTCGCCGCCGCCCCGGCTCGTGCGCGGCAGCAGGTCGGCGTACTGCGTGATGTACTCGACGAGCAGGTTCGTCGCCTCCTCGTTCGCGTCGTGCTCGTAGCCGCGGAACTGCGCGCGCATCGTCTTCGCCGCGTCCGCGGTCGGCGACTCGCCGAGCGCCCGCTTGTGCGACTTGCCCGCCTTGAGCCGCGCCTTGTGGCCCCGGTCCATGACCGCCTCCTCGAAGGACTCGCGGTCCAGCGTCAGGCACGACACGCCGGCCTCGGCGTCCGCGACGCACGTCGACGCCCGGGGCTCGTTGAGGATCATGGCCCGCTCGCCGAAGTAGTCGCCGCTCGAGAGCACGGCGACCTGCTTGCCGTAGGCCGGCGCCTCCGCGGCGGGGAAGAACGCGGCCGCCGCGCGCGTCGAGTTCGACGCCGCGGCCTTGGCGGGCTTCTCGACGAAGACGCGGACGCGGCCCCGCACGATAATATAAAACTCCTCGCCGCGGTCGTCGCCCTGGCGGATGATGACCTCGTCGGGCGCGTAGTCGCGCACGAGCAAGGCCTCGTGGACGCGCGCGAGCTGCGGCTCCGAGAAGCCCTGGAACACGGGGATGGACCGCAGGAAGTTCGTCGACGTGTCGACGGTCTCCGCGTGCTTGGCCGCCTCCGGCGTCGCCGGCGCGCCGGGCGCCGCGGACGCGCGCTTCGCCTGCTTCGCCGCGGCCAACGCCGCGTCCGCGAGGCTCGCGCGCTCGAGGACGACCGGCGCCGGTCTCGCGAGCGCGTGCGCGCGCTCGTTCGCGCCCGCGAGCCGCGCCTCGAGGTGGCCCCGCGCCGCGCGCTCTTCGTCGAGCGTCCGCTCGCGCCGCTTGAGCTCGCGGCTCAGCGCGTCGACGCGGTCGTAGAGGAGCCCGGCCTCGGTCGCGAGCTTGAGCGTCCGCGGCGTCGCCGCGGCGAGCGCGCCGTCGTCGCCGTCGTCGAAGCGCGCGTCGACGCGGCGCCCCGCGGCCTCGCAGCGCGCGACGCCGCGCACGCAGCCGACGACGACGCCGTGCGCGACGAGCGGCGCGCCGAACGCCGTCCAGCCGTCGGCGGGAAACTCCGCGGCGTCGAACTCCGCGCGGCCGACGAGCACGTCGTCGCCGACGACGGTCCGCGCGTCGTCGTCGTCGTCGTCGTCGTCGTCCGCGGACACCGTCGCCGTGAACACCGCGAGCGAGAAGGCGCCGCGCGCGGAGTCGGCCGGCGCCGAGAGCACGTCCGTCGGGAAGCGGCTCTGGTAGGTGAGCTCGCGCTTCGCGCCCTCCTCGACGTCGAGGGTCGCGTTCGTCGAGCAGCGCCGGTGGTCGCCGCGCGTCGCCGCGTCGACGTTGCGCTGGATCCGCGCGAGCACGCCCGCGGCGCCGGTAGGGTTGAAGCCGAAGTCGCCCGCGGGCGCCGCGCGCGCGGGCGGCGCCGGGGCGAGCGCGCCGCCGCCGCCCGGCGCGGCGCCGGGCACGTCGAGCTCCGCGCGGCAGACCGTCGCCTCGGCGTCGTCGCTGTCCGACGCGTCGTCGAAGTCGCCGTCGGGCGGCAGCGCGAGGCGCCGGCAGCGGAGGTTCGCGACGTAGAGGATCCGCGCGCCGTCGTTCCGGAACGCCTCGCCGGGGTCCGCGAGGGCGACGTCGAAGGCGGCGCGCACGGGCGCGTGGCGCGACGAGGCGACGTCGGGCCGCCGCCAGGCCCCCGCGACCGCTCTGAGCGGCGCGGCGCCCGGCCGACTCCGCCAGAGCACGCGGTCCGCGTAGGCCGGCGCGCCCGCGTAGGCCACCGTCGGCGACGCGGCGCCGACGTCGACGGCGTCGAAGCCCGCGAAGCAGCGGCCCGCGGCGCGTTCCCGGTCGAGCTCGTCGTGCCGCGACAGCTCGCGAAACCGCCCCGCGGCCGCGAGCGCGCGGAACGCCTCGACGGCGTCCGCGCGCGTCCGCATCTTCGACGACGTCGCGCAGAGGCGGTAGTTCAGGTCGCCGGCGAAGAGCACGTGGTCGCAGCCGTCGAAGAAGTCGTCGCCGAGGTCGCGCGCGCAGTCGCGGAGCGCGCGGCTCCGCCGCGCGGCGCGCGCCTCGCCCGGCGGCAGGTGGCAGCAGACGAAGGCCAAACTCGCCGCGTGGCGGCCGGAGACGCCGAGCACGTCGACGCGGGCCCCGAGGCAGCCGTGGCGCTCCGGGTCCGCGCCGGGGATCTGCGCTTGGGCGGTCTCGGCAACTGACACCTGCAGGTGGCCGCGCGCGAGCACGACGACGCGCAGCGCGCCGGCGCGCCGCGCCGCGACGACGTCGAGCTCGAAGAAGGCCGCGAGCGCGCCGACGGCGCCCTCGTCGGCGTCCTGCAGCGCCACGCAGACGACGTCGGCGCCGCGCGGCGACGGCTCGTCGGCGGCGTCGAGGGCGCCCGTCGGATGCAGCCACGTCGCGAGGCGCGACGCGTCCCAGGGCCGCCCGTCCATGTTGTGGCTGCCGACGACGAGCCGCATCGTCGTCGACGGCGACGGCATGTCGACGCACCGCGCGGGCAACTGGGGCTCTATACCTATAGATAGGCCGGAATCGATTTTGGGCTGCATCATCAGGGCAGCGTCGCAGAGAGCCGTCGACTTGCCGTCGAGCTCAGCGATATACGCCCGAAGGAAGTGCCCGAAGCCGCGCCGTCGAAGCCACCATGGGCAAGAACAAGCGCAGCGACAAGCTCAAGGGCGCCGGCGACAAGCGCCACAAGGGCGCGAACCTCGAGGTGACGCTCCGCGAGGACCTCGCCAAGGCCAGCGGCGTCGTCCAGCCGAGCGCGCCGCGCGCGGCGAAGCAGCGGGCCCGCGCGGGCAGCGACGAGGACCTCGACGAGAAGCAGACGGCGAGCATCCAGGAGATGGCCAAGGCCCAGCGCGGCGAGGAGGCGCGGCGCGAGGCCGACGATCTGGCCGCGCGCGCGTCGCGCGTCGCGTTCGACGTCGAGGAGGTGAGCGACGACGACGACGACGACGACTACCTCGACGGCGACGAGGGCGACGACGTCGACGAGTCGGCCTTCGACATCGGGTCCGAGGCGCTGAGCGCGTCGCAGGCCGCGCTCGTCGACTCGTTCATGGCGCCCAAGCCCGGCGCGCGCCGGACGCTCGCCGACGTGATCATGGAGAAGATCGCGGAGAAGGAGGCCGGCGCCGGCGCCATGGACGACGACGTCGAGGACAACACCTTGCCGGAGCGGGTCGTCGAGGCCTACAGCGGCATGATCCCGCTGCTCGAGCGCTACCGGTGCGGGAAATTGCCGAAGGCCTTCAAGGTCATCCCCGCGCTCGAGCGCTGGGAGGACGTGCTCTGGCTCGTGCGCCCGGACCTGTGGAGCGCCCACTGCGTCGAGGCGGCGACGAAGGTCTTCGCGTCGAACCTGGACCCCAAGCGCGCGCGCGTCTTCTACAACGAGGTGTTGCTCGAGCGGTGCCGCGACGACATCACCGTGAACAAGAAGCTCAACTACCACCTCTACCAGGCGCTCCACAAGGCCCTCTTCAAGCCCGCGCCCTGGTTCAAGGGCATCCTGCTGCCCCTCGTGCAGGACCGCGACTGCACGCTGCGCGAGGCGCTCATCTTCGGGTCCGTGCTCGCGAAGGCGTCCGTGCCCGCGGCGCACGCGGCCGTCGTGCTCCTGAAGCTCGCGGACATGGCCTACTCCGGGGCCCAGTCCGTCTTCCTCATCGTGCTCCTCAACAAGAAGTACGCGCTCCCGCGCCGCGTCGTCGACGCCGTCGCGAAGAGCTTCCTCAAGTTCGAGAGCGACGAGGCCGAGCTGCCCGTGCTCTGGCACCAGTCGCTCCTCACCTTCGTCCAGCGCTACCGCGCCGACCTCGACGACGCCACGTCCGCGAGCCTCCTCAAGCTCCTCAAGGCCCACAAGCACCACACCATCACCCACGAGATCCGCCGCGAGCTCGTCGCCGGCCACAAGAGCCGCCACTAGGCTGCCCTCTTTAACGCGCGGCGCCGCCCTACGCCTTGTTGAAGTTGAGGCCGTTGGCCTCCGCGTAGCGGCCCATGAAGCGGATGAACCGGTCGAACGCCGCGGGCGTCGTCATCTCGTAGCGCACGACGAGGCCCACGGGGTCGCCGTCGACGAAGCGCGCGTTGACGTTGGGCGTCGACAGCTCGCCCTCCTCGTCCATCATCGTCATCGCCGTGATCGCGCCTGGGAGCGGGCGCGCGAGATCGCGGCGGGCGAGATCGCGGCGGTCCGAGGGGCGTTTCGATCTTCGGACGACGAGCGACGTCCACTCGACGCGCGCGCTCTCTGGTGAAACGAGCGCGGGACGGGGACGCGCGGAGCGCCGTCGAATCACCCCGCGGTCGGCGCCGCGGCGGCGCCTTGGGGCACGTCCGCCTCGCTCTCGCAGTTGAAGAAGCTCGGCGCCTGGAAGTCGAAGGTCGCGACGCCGTTGTCGCCGTCCCGCGACCGCGTGATCTTCACGTCGGGCACGTCGGGCTCGAACATGCCCTCGTAGAACTGGATGCCGGCGGCCGGCGCCGCGCCGGCCTCGGCGGCGGCGAGCCGGAACGCGCGCGGCGACGTCCGCGCCGACGGCGCGAAGGCGACGGCGGCGGTCGCGAGGGCCAGGAAGCGAAGCATGGCTGCGGCTGTGGCTGTGATGCGCGCTGCGCGCTGCGTGCAAGGCCGCTGACAGAGCTGACAGAGCTCACCACCCTGGAGTCCGAGCTGATCGAGAGCACACCGCCTCAACAAACGTCGCCGGGGCACTCCCACCTGCGGCGCGGCGACACTCGCGACCGATGGTCGTTGCGGAGCTGTTCCGCCCGCACTACGCGATTCGATCCGAGGGTCGCGATGCGCACGCGTCCGAGCTCTTCGTACCGAGACGGCGCGCGCGTCGAACACCGCGCGTTCGGGCGACAACGCCACGCAGCGACAACGCCATGCACGACAACACGCAAACAAACACGCAGCTGGACGAAAACCCGAGGCTAGTTTACACGGTCAAAGTGAGGCGAGGCGGTCGAAGCGGCGCGGCGAAAAATTGGGGCCGGGTGGGTCAGGGCGCGCGGGCCCTGGACCGGGATTCCAGGTGGAGCGATCTCAAAAAGGAGTTCATGGCCTCGTAGGCGTAGTCCACGGGATCGTCGTCGGCGCAGGGCGGGCGCGTGGGGGGCGTCGCGGGTCGCGCGGGCTCCGCGGAAGGCGCGGCCGGCGCGGCCGCGTCCTGCCACTGCTGGATGGAGTCCTGCAGCGCCTGCGTCCGCAGGCGCTTCACCTCGCTGTCCGACCGGTCCGACCGGCTGTCGTCGGAGAGGGAAGAGCGCGGCCGCTTCGCGCTGAGCGACGGTTCGCAGCTGCCGTTCTGCCAGTTCTCGGCGCCGTAGCGCTCCCACTCCATGCCGCGCGGGGCGCGCCTCGGCGACGCGGTGCGCCGCGGGTCGGTTTTGGTGCGCACTCTGGACGCGGCCTCGTCTGCCCAGGGGCGTCCAGGCAACAGTCTACGACTAGGCGCAGCGTCGCGTGCGACCCGCAGCACAGCCGAGGTTTGCGCTGCACCACGGAAGTCACGACGATGCCGTCGAGCACCTCGACGCCTCCCGCGAGGCTGCCACCCGACGCCGCCACTGCGCGATTAGGCCGGCGCGAAGCTCGGCGCGACGAGGGACGTGCGCACGAACTTCTCCGCCTGGAGCCGGTCCCGGGAGCCGACGCGCTTCGTCCGCTTCCGCGTGGCCTCGGGCGGCGCCGCGGCGGACGGCGGCCGCGCGGTCCGGCAGCAGGCGCGCCCGCCGGGGCGCCGTATCCGCGCCAGGAGCGCCCCGAAGAGCGCGCGCGCCGCGGCGACGGCGGCGTCGTCGCCCGCGGCGCAGAGCGCGCGGACGCGGTCGGAGACCGCCTCGCCGCGCGCCGCGCACCCTAACCCCTTTTGGTCGCAGGCGTTCATCCGGGGCCCGCCGCGCGCGCCGGGCCGGGGCCGGTGCGTGAACAGCGAGGGGAAGGCGCAGTGCATCACCTCGAGCGTGCCCGCGAGGTCCTCGACGAGGCCGACCTGGGCAGGACAAGAGAGCGAAATTCCCAACTTCAAAGGCTCCTAGCTCGGCCGGTTTCCACTCGTTTCGGCTAATTTTTGGACGAGCGATAATCTCTCGGAGCGCTCTCGACGCGTGGATGCTTTTTCCGGAACGCGCGTGCGCGGAACACTCATGATGAAGCGACGTTGAATCACCCTTGTCCTGCCCTGAGGCCGACGGCGTCGTAGGACCGGAGCGCGCGCGCGACGTCGACGGTCCCGTCGCGCGCGGTCAGCGCGCGGTCGCGCTGCGCCGACGCCTCGCGCGCGAGGGTCAACCGCTGGCGCTCGGAGCAGTCGTCCGTCGCCGCGCAGGCCGTCGCGTTCGCCTTGTCGGCCGCGTGGTAGACGAGCGCGGACCGCGTCCGCGCGCCGCAGCTCCGGAAGACGTTGAACCGGCCGATGGCCTCGCCCCCAAAGTCGCCCGGCGCCAGGTCCGCCGCGGCGCCGTAGTCCAGGTGGCCGATCGCGACGACGGTCTCGTTCGCGGCCCGCTCCAGCGCGTGCGCGACGTTCGCCACGAGCTGCGCGCGCCGCGCGGGCGACGTCAGCACGGCGTCGTGCCAGAAGGCCGGGCCCAGGTTCACGACGCTGCCGTCCGCGTAGACGCGCTGGCGCGCGAAGGCGCGCAGCAGCTCCGTGAGCGTCGTCGACCCCGTCTTCTCGATGCGATTGTAGACGACCAAGCGCGGCTCGCGCGAGCCGCCCGTCTTCGCGCACCAGCCGTCGACGAAGGCGCCGAGGTCGTCGCCGGCCGACGCCGCGGCGAGGGCAGCCGCGACCATGATGATGCGCGGAGCCATCATCGTCATGATCACCATCGACCCTTAAAGTTTGTCAAGGGGATCATCATTCGCATCATGAATCAACCTTGGACTAGTTGTTGAAGTATTGAGGAATTGATGGTGGGATAGCGCATTCCTGCTGCTTCTTGTGCGCGCGATGGCCAATTCTTGGGTCGTTTGAGCGCCAACGTGCCCATGGGCGCCGCCGCCACGACGGCGAAGCAGCCCCTGGCCGAGGTCGCCATCAAGAACGAGATCGGCGTGCTCTACGGCGAAGAGGCCCAGCAGGCCTTCGCCGCGCCGCGGCCAAGGAGGACGACGTCGTCGCGTGGCCGAAGGTCCAGGCCTACGCCGAGGCGCACGGCCTCCTCGATCCCAAGGCCGTGCTGTTCAAGAACCTGAGGCAGTTCAAGATCGCCCGCGAGCAGATCGAGGCCATCTACGACGAGCACTTCTCGGGCGCGGTGCGCGAAATCCGGTGGCGCAGCGCAGACCTCGGCGACGACTGGCGCCAGCGAGGGCTGAACGGCGCGCCCGCGGAGACGCTCGATGAGCTGTACGAGGTCGGGAACAAGGCGTTACTCATGTACGCCGAAGTCATGACCGCCGCGTGCCCGAGCGACGCGGTCCTGAGGTCGCGGAAGCCCCGGAACGTGAGGTGCACGCGCGCAGCTCGTGTTGATTTCACAGTCTCAGGCGCCCTCGCCCCCCGGTATGCTCGCGCGGCGGTCCGGAGCCGTCCGGACGTACGAAGCAGCGCCTTGAGCACGCGAGCGCGCGCGCGGTCCGCGGTCCGCGCGGCTCGCCCCGGCCAAAATGAGCCTAAATGAACGCAAGCTCGGCCGCGGTGCCGCCGCCGAGGTGCTGCCCGATGATGATGATGGCTCGATGGTGGTGGCTCGCGCCCGTCGCGCTGGCGGCCGCGTCCGCGAGCGAGGTCTGCGACGCGGACGTCGTCGCGGCGGCGAGCTGCCCGCGCGGCGCCGAGCTGCTGCGCCGGGCGCAGGCGCGGCGGCTGCCCCTGGCCGTGACCATGCTCTGGGCGACGTGCCCCGAGCGGCCGCCGGCGGACGACGACGACGAGCTCGCAAAGTACAAGGTGTCGGACCCGGCGCACTCGGCGAAGCAGCAGTCCACCGTCGCCGACGACGCGGCCCAGGGGATGGCCGTCAACATGCAGTCGCGCGGCCATGCGTCCTCCACCGGCGCGGCGTCGCAGTTCGCGCGCAGGCAGGCCGCGATCGCCGGCGATTCCGCGACGACGAGGCCCGCGACGCAGGCCAGGCGCCAGAGCGCGCGCATCACTCACAAAGCTCTCCCATGCTGCCCTGCTGCATCATCTCCTGGGACCATGCTGCCCTGCATCGTCGCGGCAGCATCCGGTGGGAAGTCGTGCGAGCCTTCCTATGGGCAGCCAAGCCCGAGGGGTGCGCGACTTCTGGGTGTGATCTTGCTGAGGCACTCGCGCTGCGTCGACGATGGGCGGCGACGCCGAGGCGCGCACGCGGACCGTGCGGCGCATCCACGGCATCCCCCACGAGGGCGAGGACAGCACGGGCGCCGAGCTCGCGGGGAAGGCCTACCGCGAGGGCCTCGTGGAGCTCGTCACGTTCGTCGTGGCCTTTGGCTGCGCCATCCTGCTGGTCCTGTACTGCTACCGCGCGGCGCTGTGCTTCGGCGCGCGCTGCGGCTGGCGCGCGCGGTGGCGGCGGTCGTGCGTCGACGGCGCCGCTAAGCGCGCGGGCGCCTACCGGCTGCTCCTCGCCTTCACCGTCGTGGGCGTCGTCGCGGCGTCGCTCGCCGGGTCCTTCGGGGAGGCGGAGCTGCTGCGGGGCGTGAAGAACGTCGGCGACGCCGTCGAGCGCCTCGGGGACTGGCTCGAGCACCTGCGGTCGCTCTGCGTCGACATGGTCCGGTCGACGGGGACGATCACGCGGGCGACGAAGGACGTCACGTGCTCCGGCGAGGAGCTGGACAAGTTCGTCGGCGACGTCGCGGTCGTGAACGCGACGATCGGCCGCGTGTCGGACGTCTTCGACGCCATGATCGACCCCGTGCGCCGCGTCGAGGACCAGGTGCGGAGCCGGGGCCGCTTCTGGGTGACGCTGGGCGTGCGCCTCGTGACCTTCGGGCCGTCGATCGTCTACGTCTTCCCCATGTTCTTCGGCCTGCTCGGCGAGGGCCGCTGCAAGTCGTGCGCGATCGCCGTCGTCGAGGGCGGCGCGTGCTGCTCGTCGTGCATCGGGTTGCCCGTGGGCCTCGCGCTCTTCGCCGTGCTCTTCGTGCTCTCCATCGGCCTCGCGGACTTTTGCTTCCTCGGGCCCGCGGCGGTGCTGACGGGCGGCAACGAGGACAACCGCTACCTGGCCTACTACCTGCGCTGCGAGGGCTCGAACCCCATCTCCGTCGACGTCGACGCCATGGCGAACGCCGTCGACGAGCTCGACGAGTACGCGGACGAGCTCGAGCTCGCGGGCGTCTGCACGGGCCTCGACGCCGCGGCCTCGGACATCGACGGCGCCATCGGGGACCTCCAGGACGTCGTCGACGAGATCACGGAGGACGTGCTCAGCTGCAGGTACATCCAGCCCATCGTCGGCGACCTCTTCTACGACGCCGTCTGCGACCGGACCGTCGAGGGTTCGCGCCGGCGTCCCGCGACGACGTTCGAAACCTTCGACCGGGAAAACAAATCGTCACCGACGCGCGTGGTAGGTCTCTACCGCGTCTGGGTCGTCGTGCTCGCGTCGGGCGCCGCGGCGCTCTGCGGCCTCTTCGTCGCGCCGCTCGCGACGGCGGCCTTCCGGGGCGCGGACCACCGCGACCACGACCGCGAGCTCCGCCGCTCCTACCTCGAGGTCGTCGAGAAGGGCGAGGTCGTCAAGGTGCGGTCGTCGCTCCAGCGCGCCGTGGACGCCGCGCGCGGCAGCCTCCGCCGCGCCAAGGTCGTGCCCATCGTCGCGGAGCCCCTCGACGCCGCGGAGGCCCCGCCGATCACCGCGGAGCCCGTCGCGGCGGGGCCGCCGAAGGAATTCCTCGCGCTCGTCGCGACGACGCCCGTGACCGAGTTCGTCGAGAACCCGCTCGCGGCCGCGGCCGCGGACGGGGGGGACGACGACGACGACGACGAGACGGGCGGGGGGGACGACGACGGCCTCCGCGCCGAGGACGTCGACGACGCGGACGGGGGGAACGACGACGGCCTCCGCGCCGACGACGTCGACGACGCGGACTCGGACCGGGGCCGCGGCGACGACGACCACACGGACTCGTCCTCGGGATCGGCGAACGACAGCGACGACTACATGGACGAGGACGACGAGCGGAACCTGGACCCCGTCGACGCGGGCGCGCGCGCGGCCATGGTCGAGGCGGAGCAGGCGCGGCTCCGGCGCATGGACGGGCGATAGCGCTTAGGACTCGCGCTGGCGCTTCGGGGGCGGGTCGTCGTCGTCGTCGTCCGCGCAGAGGTCGATGACGGCGGCCTGGGGCTTCGGCTTGGCCGCGGGCCGGGCCGCGTCGTCGTCGGGCAGCGCGACGTCGATGCTCCGGGAGCCGTCGACGAGCGCGCGCGCGTGTCTGCCGGCCTTGAGGTAGACGACGACGGAGTACGCCGTGAAGTGGAGGTCCAGGGCGAGGACGCGCGCGACGAGGAGGGACCCGCAGAACTCCTCGAGCGCCTCCTTCGAGAGCCGCTTGGCCACGGTGCCCTTGGCCGCCTTCTTGCGCACGTCGTCGACGAGCGCCTTGGCCGTGCGCTGCCGCGGCGCGGCGATGGCCTCGGCGGCGAAGGCCTTGGCGAGCGCGAGCGCGGCGCCGTCGTCGTCGCGCGCCGCCGTCGCCGACGCCGCGCAGGCGTCGCAGCACAACGCGGGGTCGCCGCGCGCGGGGGGGTCCGCGTCGCCGAGCGCGTGGGCGAGCGCTTTCCGTCGGCACGCACCGCGCGACGAGCAGTAGCAGGCCATGGCCATGCCGTTGGCCGCGCCGGACGCCTCCGTCGCCGTGAGCGAAAAGATGCGCCACAGGTCCGCGGCGCGGTAGAAGAGGCAGCACCGCGCCGGCGCGCCGTCCCGGCCGGCGCGGCCGGCCTCCTGGTAGTAGCTCTCGAGCGCCTTGCTGCAGGTGAAGTGCGCGACGTACCGGACGTCAGGCTTGTCGATGCCGAGGCCGAAGGCGATCGTCGCACAGACGACCGCCACGGAGCCGCGGCGCCACGCGTCGTGGACGCGGCTCCGGCTCTCGTCGGGCAGGCCCGCGTGGTACGGCGCGGCGCGGAGGCCGCGCGTCCGCAGGCCCGACGACACGTCCTCGCACTCCTTCTGGCTGAGGCAGTAGACCACGCCCGTCGCCGTCCGGCCGACCTCGTCGACGAACGCGGCGAGCGCCGCGACGGCGTCGTCTTTCGCCGCGGGCTTCCGCCTGACCTCGAAGAACAGGTTCGGCCGGTCGCTCTTGCCGCGGAACCGCACCGTCCGCCGGCCGAGGCCCAGGATCTCCTCGACGTCTCGCAGGACCCGCGGCGTCGCCGTCGCCGTGAGCGCGAGAATCGGCACCCGCGGAAACGCGGTGCGCAGGCTTCCGAGCTTGGCGTAGTCGGGCCGGTAGTCGTGGCCCCACGCGCTCGCGCAGTGCGCCTCGTCGATGACGAAGCGCGCCAGCCGGCCCGCCTTCTCGCACTTCTCGAGCGTCGCCAGCAGCCGCTTCGACGACGCGACGCGCTCGGGCGTCACGAAGACGACCCGCCCCGCGGCCTCCGCGGCGCCCGTCGCCGCCTCGCCCAGGTCCTTGAGCGCCGCGTTGAGCGCGTCGCGGCCCGACGCCGACGTCAGCGCGACGGCGCGCAGGCCGAGGTCGCCGCAGGCGCGCGCCTGGTCCTCGATGAGCGAGACGAGCGGGCTCACGACGACGGTCGTCGCCGGCGGCCCCGCGAGCGCCGGCAGCTGGTAGCACAGCGACTTGCCGCCGCCGGTGCGCAGCACCGCGAAGACGTCGCGCCCCGCGAGCGCGGCGTTAATGATCTCGCGCTGCAGCGGGCGGAACGCCGCGAGCGCGCAGCGCTGCAGCGCGGCGTCGACGGCGCCATCCCAGGCCTGGCCGCCGCTCCAGTCCTCTTCGACGAGCTCCTCCTCGTCGACGGGCTCCTCCGCGTCCTCGAGCAGACCGTCGCGCTCCTCCTCCGCCGCCGCGATGAGGCCGTCGATGCGCCGGCGCTCCTCGAGGAGACTCTGGAGGCGCGCTTCGACCTCGACGAGGCGGTCGGCCATCAGTGGGGTACCTGACCGTGCCGATTCCGGGCTCGGCGCTGATCACGTGATCTCTATGCGCGGCAGGAGCTGCGAGAGTTCTTGCATGCCCTCTTCGGACTGCAGATTGAACGCATCCTTCTCTTCACCATGCCGCCGCCGCGATACACCATTCCAATTATGGCACACCAATCCAATTACGCCGTATTTCCCTTGCCGATGGTCTCGTTCAGCGGGTCGGGCCGGGGCGGCGGCGGGCCGAAGTCGAGGATATCCTTCTTCTTCGGCGGCGCGGGCGGGTGCGCCTTCTTGTACGCGTCGAGCTTCTTCCGGTAGTGCGTCGCCGCGCGGCGGCGCTCGTCGAGCTGGGCGTCGCTCAGCGCCGCCTTCGCCGCGCGGGCCTCGGCCTCGGCGCGCGCCTTGTCGTCGAGGAGCCGGCGGAGCTGGTCGTCGAAGGCGCCGCGCTCGACGTCGCGCTCGTCTTCGAGATCCGCGACTCTCCGCTTGAGCTCCGCCGTCGCGTCGCGGACGGCGGCCTTCGTCGCGCAGCGCGCGCGCGACAGCTCGACCTGGAGGGCCGCCTCGCGGACGAGGGCCGCCTCGAGCTCGTTGACGGCGGCGCGCTCGCGCCGCAGCGCGTCCGCGGCGCCGTCGAGCGCCCTCCGCCGCGCGGACGCCTGGAGCCTCGCGATCGTCGCCGCGTGCGCCGCCTCCTCGGCCCAGGCGGGGGCGGGCGGCGGCGGCGCCTCCCGGTCGGCCGCGGCCGCGAGGCCCCGCGCGGCCGCGGCCTCGGCGCGCTCCGCGCGCGCGCGCGCGAAATCCCGCGGCGTCCGCGACGACAGGCTCCTCTTCGGCTTCGACGGCGCCGACGACGCCGGCGCCGTCGCGGGCCGCGCCGTTTCCGGCGGCCGCGCCTTCGTCGGCGACGGCCGCCGCCGCGGCGACGGCGGCGGCTTCGCCGCCGCGGGCAGCGGCTCGACCGGGCGGTCCAGGACGTGGCACAGCGCCTCGAGGTGGAGGACATCCTTGGACCCGGCGGCGGCGAGCAGGTCGTCGACCTCCGTGGGCGAGACGTAGCCCAGCCCCGCGTCGCGGAACTTGCGCTGCGCGTCGCCCCGGCCCACGCCGGCCTCCGGCGCGCGCGACGCGAGCTTCGCCCAGAGGTGCGCGACCTTGCCGCCGTACTTGCCGTCGACGACCTCGCCGACGCAGCGCTTCAGGTCGTCGAGGGGCCGCCGCGGGAAGAGCCAGTCCGCGAACTCGGACCTGCTGACGACGCCGTCGCCGTTCGCGTCCAATCGGTCGCCGAATAAAGCGCTCTGCCGCCGCGACACGCGCACCCCCCCCGGGAGCTGGAGCGACCGCGCCCAGGCGCCCAGGGCCGACGTCGGCAACGAATTCTTCGCGTCCTTGCCGCGCTTCTTCGCGACGTCCGCGATCGCGGCGAAGGCCTGGACGACGGGGCTCGGCTCCGGCGCCGCGGCGTCGTAGTAGTCGCGCGCCGTCGTCCGTAATCCTTCCAGCACCGCGGCGAACTCGGCCTCGCCCTCCTCGGGCGCGTCGACGACGAACTGCTCGATCTCGTCGCAGGCGACGTCGCCGGAGCCGTCCGCGTCGACGGCGCGCCAGAGCACGCCGAGGTAGCGCCGGGGGACGCGGAACGCCGCGCGCCGCCGCGCGCCGAGCGACGCGACGGGCGCTTCTTTCAGGATCATGTCGCAGCGCGTCGTGAGCGCGTCGAGCGGGTGGTGGTCGACGAACTCCTCGCCGAGGTCAGCGGCGACGGCCGCGAGCTCGACGCCGCAGGCGCGCGCGAGTTCGTCGCCGTTCCTCGCGCCCGCGGCCTCGGCCGCCGACCCGGCCTTGACGCCCCTGACCCAGAGCGACCGCTCCGTGCGGGACGCGCACCGCTCCTCGACGACGAACCCGAGGCCCGCGAGCGTCGCGCCGTCGCCGCCCGGCAGCGCGAGGAGCACGTCCTCGACGCCCACGAGATCCGACGGGACGTCGTCGACGATTTCCACGCCCATGGACGCGACGAGCGCCTCGAACTCGGCCGCGTCGATCTCGCCGGAGCCGTCGGCGTCGATTTTAGCAAACTCCGACTTCAGCAGATCCCGGATCTTCACCTTGTCCTCGCCGGAGCAGAGGCCGCCGCCGAGGCCGCACCGCTCGAGGAGCGCGCCGCGGAGCTGCGCCGCGGCGACCGCGAACGCGCCCGCCTCGTCGCCGGCCGTCGCCGCCGCGGGGCCCGCCTCGCTCGCGTCGTCCTCGACCAAAAGCGCCCCGCCGGCGTCGCCGAGCCAGGCCCGGAACTCGCGGCCGTCGACGCAGCCGGACCCGTCGTCGTCGAGGCTCCGCGCGAGGACCCCAACCTCGCTCCGGCTCAGGGGCCCCTCGAAGTGGTCCGCCGCGCAGAGCGCCGCGCGCAGGTCACCCGCCGACACGAGGCCCCGCGACGACGCGTCGAGGGCGTCGAAGGTCACGCGCGGCATGGCCTCGTGCTCCGCCGCGCACCACCGCTGCACGTGCGCCCGCAGGGCCTCGAGCGGCCGCGGCGGCACGAGCCACGCCTGGGCGTCGTCGACGTCGACGACGCCGTCGCGGTCGCCGTCGAGGCGCTCCGCGACGACGAGGGCGCCGAAGCCGCCGAGCGCGCGGCCGCCGCCGAGGTCGAGGCCGAGCACGGCGGCGACGACGGCGGCGCGGTCGAGCGCGCCGCCGTTCGGCGCGCCGGGGACGCGCGCCGCGAGCGCGGCGAGCAGGTCGGCGCCGCTCGCGCCGCCGCCGAGCGCCGCCCGCGCCGCCGCGACGACGCGGTCGACGTCGCGCGCCTCGTCCGTCAGCGCGAGCTCCCGGAGCTCCGGGAACGTGATCCTCGCTTTCCCCGGCGCCTCGCCCCGCGCGACGCGCAGCTGCCGCGCGGCGCCGAGGAGCGGCAGGATGCGGCTCGCCGCCGCGACGTCGCTGTCGACGGGCGCGCCGACGCCGGCGCACCAGATCTCGAGGGCCGACGCGTCGCAGGCGCCGCGGCGGCTCGCGCAGTCCCAGGCCGCGGCGACGCGCGCCTCGAGGGCGTCCAACTCCTCGCCGCGGGCGTCCAACGCCTGCCGCAGCACGCGCACGGCGGCCTCGACGGTGTGGTGCAGGGATGGCTGCCCCTCCATCGTCGGCGGTTGGCTGCCTTGAATTCTTCAAGAACGCATGTTTTATCCTGTAGCGCGCGCATACAGCATGGGGCTGCCGTAGGCGTGGTTTTGACGCGCACATCGGAGCATGGTCGGCTTCGTCGACGAGCCCGACCTCAGCAGCGACGACGAGCCGGCGCCGGAGGAGGCGGCGGAGCCCGCCGCCGCCGACGAGGCCGCGGCGCCGGCGCCGGCCGCCGCGGCGGAGGAAGACGACGACGAGGAGGAGGCGGAGCCGCCGGAGCCCCCCTTCGACCCGCAGGAGGACGCGCGGCCCTACTGCGACGCGGAGCGCGACGACGAGCGGGGCATCTCGGACAAGTGGCAGCGGTACAACGAGGCCCTCATCTGCCTCATGGAGGACGACTACGACGGCGCCGAGGAGATTTTGAGGCCCCTCACGGACGAGGACGACGGCGAGATGGCCGAGGACCCGGACGCGCTCTACTGGATGGCGCGCGTCGAGCTGAAGCGCGCGAAGGACGCGGACGACGACGCCAAGGCGCGCGGCCGCCGGGCGCCGAGCGAGCATGCCTAAGCCGAGAAGCGGCGCACCATGGCCATGCGCTCGACGAACGTCGTCGGCGACGCCATGCTCTCCTTCGGCGCGGACGTCGCGCCCGGCGCGGCGCGGCCGCCGCCGCCGTCGGCGGACGGCGGCGACGGCGACGACGCGGCGCCGTCGTCGAGCGCGAACGCGGCGCCCTTCGAGCTCAACGCGAACCGCTGGGACCAGTTCGCCGCGGCGAAGTCGGCCCAGCACAAGTTCAAGGGCCTCCTCGCGCGCCGCGGGTCCGCGGCCCAGAACGTCGCGCCGCCGGCCGGCGTCGAGGCCGCGGAGCACTTTTTGGACCGCGCGCTCGAGGCCATCGAGGCCCACGGGTGCTGCGACGACTACGACGAGACGCTGCGCAAGATCCACCTCGAGCAGATGATCTTGGCCATGGAGAGCGGCGACACGAGGACCGCGCGGACCCTCGCGGAGGCCGGCGACATCGATTTGGAGGCGGAGACTAGGCTCGTGCTCGCGGAGCTCCTCCTCAAGAGCGGCCAGGAGAAGGGCGCCGCGCGCCAGACCGTGCTCGCGGTCCAGAGCAACAACGAGAGCCGGCGGACCATGCGCCAGACGATATCGAAGCGGGGCACGCACATGAACGTGCGGCAGAAGTCGATGATCTCCCACGCGCGCGGCCTCCGCGCGGCCGTCGCCGGCCTCGACGAGGACGACGCCATGGCCGACATGGGGCTCGGGCTCGACTGGGCCTTCGACGAGAAGCCCGACATGCTCGTGCGGGAGTAAGGCGACGCATATTTCGCCGGCTCGGGAAAATCGCAATATATCTAAGTTGCACTTTCCTTCAATATCGCTTCGAGGAAGGGTCAAGTTTTGTGATTGTTACTAGATCCAGTGCTTCGCATCTGATGCGTCTTGCATAAAGGACCGAACCTGCACCATGGCCGCCGTGCCTGACTCCCCGTCGTCGCTCTTCACGAGCGCGGACTCCCCGTCGTCGCTCTTCACGAGCGCGTCGCTCTTCGAGCAGCCCGCGAACAGCACCAACGCCTACGTGGACTG